GCCAGGAAACACACACTTCTGGCCAGGCAACACACACACCCCTGGCTAGGAAACACACACTCCTGGCCAGGCAACACACACACCCCTGGCCAGGAAACACACACTCCTGGCCAAGCAACACACACACCCTTGGCCAGGAAACGCACACCCCTGGCCAGGCAACACACACACACACCTGGCCAGGAAACGCACACCCCTGGCCATGCAACACACACACTCCTGGCCAGGAAACACACACTCCTGGCCAGGTAACACACACACCCCTGGCCAGGAAACACACACTCCTGGCCAGGCAATACACACACCCCTGGCCAGGAAACACACACTCCTGGCCAGGAAACACACCCCTGGCCAGGCAACACCAGCTGTGTTATGTAGCCAGTGGCTGGGTGATTTACAGGGAGATCACGATGACACCCTCCACTTTGGTAAGGCCAAGGAAGAGTTGGGAGGCGGGGGAAGGGTATGTATGCTAGATAAAAAAAACACACACACACACACACACACACACCAGGTAATCAGGCTAAGGAAGGAAGGAGGAGAGATCACAAGAAACGACCGACAAGTATGTGAGGAACTCAACATGAGATTCAAAGAAGTGTTCACAGAGGAGACAGAAGGGACTCCAGAAAGACGAAGAGGTGGGGTACACCATCAAGTGTTGGACGCAATACTTACAACCGAGGAAGAAGTGAAGAGGCTGCTGAGTGAGCTAGACACCTCAAAGGCGATGGGATCGTATAACATCTCTCCCTGGGTCTTGAGAGAGGGAGCAGAGGTGCTATATGTTCCCCTAACAACAATATTCAATACATCTATCGAAACAGGGAGATTACCTGAGGTATGGAAGACAGCAAATGTAGTCCCATTTTTTTAAAAAAAAGGAGACAGACAAGACGCACTAAACTATAGACCAGTGGCACTGACATGTATAGCATGCAAAGTCATGGAGAAGATTATCAGAAGAGTGGTAGAACACCCAGAAAGAAATGAGCTTAACAGCCAACACGATTTCAAGGACTGGAAATCCTGTGTCACAAACATACTGGAGTTCTATGACAGGGTAACAGCAGTACGACAAGAGAGAGGGGGGTGGTGGGTAGGTTGCATTTTCTTGGACTGTAAGAAGGCTTTTGACACAGTTCCACACAAGAGATTTGTACAAAAACTGGAGGACCAGGCAGGGATAATAGGGAAGGCACTTCAATGGATCAGGGAATACCAGTCAGGAAGACAGCAGCGAGTCATGGTACGAGACGAGGTGTCAGAGTGGGCGCCTGTGACGAGTGGGGTCCCACAGGGGTCAGTCCTAGGACCGGTGCTGTTTCTGGTATTCGCGAACAAAATGACGGAAGAAATAGACTCCGAAGTGTCCCTGTTTCCAGATGATGTGAAGTTGATAAGAAGAATTTAATCGGACGCGGACCAGGCAGAACTACAAAGGGATCTGGACAGGCTGCAGGCCTGGTCCAGCAATTGGCTCTTGGAGTTCAACCGCACCAAGTGCAAAGTCATGAAGATTGGGGAAGGGCAAAGTAGACCGCAGACGGAGTACAGTCTAGGGGGCCAGAGACCACAAACCTCACTCAAGAAAAAAGCTCTTGGAGTGAGTATAACACCAGGCACATCTCCTGAGGCACACATCAACCAAATAACTGCTACAGCATATGGGCGCCTAGCAAACCTCAAAACAGCATTCCGCCATCTTAATAAGGAATCGTTCAGGACCCTGTACACCGTGTACGTTAGGCCCATGTTGGAGTATGCAGCACCAGTTTGGAACCCACACCTAGCCAAGCACGTAAAGAAACTAGAGAAAGTGCGAAGGTTTGCAACAAGACTAGTCCCAGAGCTAAAGGGTATGTTCTACGAAGAGAGGTTAAGGGAAATCGTCCTGACGACACTGGAGGACAGGAAAGATAACGACAGATAAAATACTGAGAGGAATTGACAAGGTGGACAAAGACAGTATGTTCCAGAGATTGGACACAGCAACAAGGGGACACAGTTGGATATTGAAGACACAGATGAATCACAGGGATGTTAGGAAGTATTTCTTCAGTCACAGAGTAGTCAGGAAGTGGAATAGTTTGGGAAGCGATGTAGTGGAGGCAGGATCCATTCATAGCTTTAAGCAGAGGTATGATAAAGCTCATGGTGCAGGGAGAGTGACCTAGTAGCTGCCAGTGAAAAGGCGGGGCCAGGAGCCATCACTCGATATCTGCAACAACAACTAGGTGAGTACACACACGCACATGCACACACACACACACACACACACACACACACACACACACACACACACACACACACACACACACACACACACACACACACACACACACACACACACACACACACACACACACACACACACACACACACACACACACACACACACACACACGATAAAGCTCATGGAGCAGTGGGAGAGAGGACCTAGTAGCGGTCGGTGAAGAGGCGGGGCCAGGAGCTGAGTCTCGACCCCTGCAGACCAACACCTTGATGTAAGACCATGGTTCTCTAAAGATTACCTGTTGGGTTTTCCTGTAGACTTGATAAAGCTCAATCCTGGGCGAAACATCGCCTAAAATAGTCTTGGTGTGTGTGTTACATGTCTTTATACCCCCCAATTGTTGCCTCAGTCATTTACCTCCGTGTTGATCTGTTTCTCCTTCCTTCAAGAAATCTGCAAACACACGGAAGTTTGCATATTTTCTTTCTCTCTTTCATTTTTCATTCAAATAGTTTTGCATTATTTCAGTCGAGTTTTAAAATGACTCCTTTATATATATATATATATATATATATATATATATATATATATATATATATATATATATATATATATATATATATATATATATATATATAAAGGAGTCTTTTTATATATAATGGACTACTTTTGAAGTCTGGTTATTTCTCGCAAATATTTAATAGGTAATTATGCAATAGTGATCATTAATTTTCCACCAAAGAAAGAGCAGAAAGCGACAAACGTGAAGCTATATTACTCTTACTTTCACTAAAACCCATAAGGTTAAAGGGTCATACAGCGGTACATAGAGTGAGACTTGCTGAGCCTCATCAGTGACGTCAGTTATGTAGCGCTTACGTAGTTCATTCCTCTCCCAGTTCTCTTTCTGTGTGTGTGTGTGTAGTAATGTAATGGGTGCCTTTTATGTGTGTCTTGGTGAAATGAAATAGATGGAGGGGACTTTCCGGTGTGTGTGTGTGTGTGTGTGTGTGTGTGTGTGTGTGTGTGTGTGTCGTGTGTGTCGTGTGTGTCTTGTGTGTGTGTCGTGTGTGTGTGTGTGTGTGTGTGTGTGTGTGTGTGTGTGTGTGTGTGTGTGTGTGTGTGTGTGTGTGTGTGTGTGTGTGTGTGTGTGTGTGTCGTGTGTGTGTCGTGTGGTGTGTGTGTGTGTGTGTGTGTGTGTGTGTGTGTGTGTGTGTGTCGTGTGTGTGTGTGTGTGTGTGTGTGTGTGTGTGTGTGTGTGTGTGTGTGTGTGTGTGTGTGTGTGTGTCTGTGTCTGTGTGTCTGTGTGTGTGTCTGTGTTTGTGTCTGTGTGTGTGTGTGCGTGCGTGTGTGCGTGCGTGTGTGCGTGCGTGTGTGTGTCTGTGTGTGTCTGTGTGTGTCGTGTGTGTGTCTGTGTTTGTGTGTGTGCGCGTCTGTGTGTCGTGTGTACTCACCTAGTTGAGGTTGCAGAGGTCGAGTCCAAGCTCCTGGCCCCGCCTCTTCACTGGTCACTACTAGGTCACTCTCCCTGAACCATGAGCTTTATCGTACCTCTGCTTAAAGCTATGTATGGATCCTGCCTCCACTACATCGCTTCCCAAACTATTCCACTTCCTGACTACTCTGTGGCTGAAGAAATACTTCCTAACATCCCTTTGATTCATCTGTGTCTTCAGCTTCCAACTGTGTCCCCGTGTTGCTGTGTCCAGTCTCTGGAACATCCTGTCTTTGTCCACCTTGTCAATTTCTCTCAGTATTTTGTATATCGTTATCATGTCCCCCCTATCTCTCCTGTCCTCCAGTGTCGTCAGATTGATTTCCGTGCGTGCGTGGTGATTGTGCGCCGCCGTGTGTGTGTGCTGTGTTCTTGTTTGTGTGTGTGTGTCTGTGTTTTGTGTGTGTTTGTGTGTTATAGTCTGTGTTGTCTGTGTCGGTGTGTTGCCTGTGTGTGTGTGTGTGGTGTGGTGTGTGTGTGTGTGTGTGTGTTGTGTGGTGTCTGTGTGTGTATGTGTGTCTGTGTTTGTGTGTGTGCGCGTCTGTGTGTCTGTGTGTGTCGTGTGTGTCGTGTGTGTGTCGTGTGTGTGTCGTGTGTGTGTGTGTGTCGTGTTCTGTGTGTGTGTGTGTGTGTCTGTGTTTAGTTGACTTTTGTCTAGGCACATGTCGATCAGTCTAGGCTGTAGTTATGCTGTGTGTGTGTGGTGTGTGTGTGTGTGTGTGTGTGTGTGTGTGTGTGTGTGTGTGTGTGTGTGACTGTGTGTGAGATCTGTGTGTGTGTGTGTGTGTGTGTGTGTGTGTGCGTGTGGTGTGTGTGTGTGTGTGTGACTGTGTGTGAGACTGTGTGTGTGTGTGTGTTGTGTGTGTGTGTGTGTGTGTGTTTTTTTTTTGTGTGTGTGTGTGGTGTGTGTGTGTGTGTGTGTGTGTGTGTGTGTGTGTGTTGTGTGTGTGTGTAATGTGTGTGCTGTGTGTTGTGGTGTGTGTGTGTGTGTGTGGTGTGTGTGTGTGTGGTGTGTGGGGTGTGTGTGTGTTGTGTGTGGTGTGTGTGTGTGTTTGTGTGTGTGTGTGTGTGTTTGTGTTTTTTTTTTGTGGGGTGTGTGTGTATATATGTGTGTGCGTGTGTGTGTGCGTGTGTGTGTGTGTGTGTGTGTGTGTGTGTGTGTGTGTGTGTGTGTGTGTGTCTGTGTCTGTGTGTCTATGTGTGTGTGTGTGTGGTGTGTGTGGTGTGTGTGTGTGTGTGTGTGTGTGTGTGTGTGTGTGTGTGTGTGTGTGTGTGGGTGTCGGAGCGGTCCAGTAGTGTGGCGCGTCAGTGTTGTGTCTAGGGAGGTGAGGACTGCTCGTACTACAAGGGTCTCCGTCGTTTTGCTCCCTCGAAAAGTTTTCTTACACACAAACGCGCGCGCGTGCTCGATCACACATATACACACCTGCGTAATTAGTGCCTCAGCCGTGTTCTAAATGGCACCTTTATGAGTGGACAGTAGACTGGTTGTCCTTAGCACAAATGGATAACACAGAGTGCGATAGTGAAAGTGAAGTGAACTTCGTCAGGTATTTGTTGGCCGTTCAACAAGGCAGTAGGCGATGTCTTGAAGACATTTTCCGGTTGCTGTATCGGGCCTGGAGTCACGGGAAGACCTATGACACACTGCAAGAGTTCTGCGTTGACGCTCTGGGCTGGGAGAGAGAGGACCTGGCCAACTTATTCATCTTGGCTGAGAATGATCTCGGTAGCACTCTGGGTGGAAGAAACTTTCCTAACAAGTCTCAGAGAGTGCACGGTGTCCAGCAGCCTTTGAGGTCCCCGTCAGAGAACGTCAAGCCGCAAGTGCTTTGTGACACCCAGCACACGATCCGGCCCAGCAGGAGTATTGTCCGAAAGAAGAGGTCATCTTGGAAGATAATCACTCGATCAGACACCTCCGTGATCCTAGGGCCCGGCTTACAAGGTCTCCACGACGTGAAGCAGGCACCTCAGGAGTCCGGGGATTCCACAGAAGAGGTTTCCTGTGAAACATGTCGACCAAACACTGGTGTTGGCAGTCACTTGCCTCGGCACTCCCACTCGGTTATACCAGTAAGTGTCGACCGTATTACACCGTCAAGGCAAGAGGCTGGCAGTATTGTACCACCAAAGCAAGAGGCTGGCAACATTGTTCCATTAAAACAAAAGGCTAATTACGTTGTACCATCAAAACAAGACCTTCGTACTGTTGTACCATCAAAACAAGACCTTGGCACTGTTGTACTATCAAAACAAGACATTGGCACCGTTGTACTATTAAAACAAGACCTTGACACCGTTGTACCATCAAAACAAGACCCTGACACCGTTGTACCATCAAAACAAGACCGTGGTACCGTTGTACTATTAAAACAAGACCTTGACACCGTTGTACCATCAAAACAAGACCTCGACACCGTTTTATTATCAAAACAAGACCTTGACACCGTTGTACCATCAAAACAAGTCCTTGACACCGTTGTATTATCAAAACAAGACCTTGACACCGTTGTACCATCAAAACAAGACCTTGACACCGTTGTACCATCAAAACAAGTCCTTGACACCGTTGTATTATCAAAACAAGACCTTGACACCGTTGTACCATCAAAACAAGACCTTGACACCGTTGTACCATCAAAACAAGTCCTTGACACCGTTGTATTATCAAAACAAGACCTTGACTCTGTTGTACCATCAAAACAAGACCTTGACACCGTTGTAAGATCAAAACAAGACTTTGACACCGTTGTACCATCACAAGAGGCTAGTCACGTTGTACTATCAAAACAAGAAGCTGACAACGTTGTACTAAAAACACAAGACCTTGGCACCGTTGTACCATCAAAACACAAGGCTGGCATCGTTGTAACATCAAAACAAGACCCTGGCAACGTTGTACCATCAAAACAAAAGGTTGGCAACGTTGTACCATCAAAACAAAAGGCTGGCAGTGTTGTACCATCTAAACAAAAGGTTGGCAACGTTGTTTCATCAAAACAAAAGGTTGTCAACGTTGTACCATTAAAACAAAAGCCTGGCAACGTTGTACCATCAAAACAAAAGGTTGACAACGTTGTACCATCAAAACAAAAGGTTGGCAACGTTGTACCATCAAAAAAGGCTGGCAACGTTGTACCATCAAAACAGAAGGTTGGCAACGTTGTACCATCAAAAAAGGTTGGCAACATTGTACCATCAAAACAAAAGTTTGGAATCGTTGTACCATCAAAAAAGGCTGGCAAGGTTGTACCATTAAAACAAAAGGCGAGTCACATTGTACCATCAAAAGACCCTGGCAACATTGTACCATCAAAACAAGATCCTGGCAACGTTCTACCATCAAAACAAGAGGTTGTTAACATTGTACCATCAAGACAAGAGGCTGGCAACGTTGTACCATCAAAACAAGAGGTTGGTAACATTGTACCATCAAGACAAGAGGCTGGCAACGTTGTACCATCAAAACAAGAGGTTGGTAACATTGTACCATCAAGACAAGAGGCTGGCAACGTTGTACCTTCAAAACAAGAGGCTGGCAACGTTGTACCTTCAAAACAAGAGGCTGACGTCATTGTACCATCAAAACAAGAGGTTGACATCATTGTACCATCAAAACAAGAGGCTGACATCATTGTACCATCAAAACAAGAGGCTGACAACGTTGTACCTTCAAAACAAGAGGCTGGCAACGTTGTACCTTCCAAACAAGAGGCTGGCAACGTTGTACCTTCCAAACAAGAGGCTGGCAACGTTGTACCTTCAAAACAAGAGGCTGGCAACGTTGTACCTTCCAAACAAGAGGCTGGCAACGTTGTACCTTCAAAACAAGAGGCTGACAACGTTGTACCTTCCAAACAAGAGGCTGACAACGTTGTACCTTCAAAACAAGAGGCTGACAACGTTGTACCTTCCAAACAAGAAGCTGACAACGTTGTACCTTCCAAACAAGAGGCTGGCAACGTTGTACCTTCCAAACAAGAGGCTGGCAACGTTGTACCTTCCAAACAAGAGGCTGACAACGTTGTACCTTCCAAACAAGAGGCTGGCAACGTTGTACCTTCCAAACAAGAGGCTGGCAACGTTGTACCTTCAAAACAAGAGGTTACCAAGGTTGTACTATCAAAACAAGAGGCTGGCAACGTTGTACCTTCCAAACAAGAGACTGACAACGTTGTACCTTCCAAACAAGAGGCTGACAACGTTGTACCTTCCAAACAAGAGGTTGCCAAGGTTGTACTATCAAAACAAGAGGCTGGCAACGTTGTACTTTCCAAACAAGAGGCTGGCAACGTTGTACCTTCCAAACAAGAGGCTGGCAACGTTGTACTTTCAAAACAAGAGGCTGGCAACGTTGTACCTTCAGAACAAGAGGCTGGTAAAGTTGTACCTTCCAAACAAGAGGCTGGCAACGTTGTACCTTCAAAACAAGAGGCTGGTAACGTTGTACCATCAAAAGATAAGACCAGCGTTATTGTAAATCAGGAACCTAAATTTGTTGAATCACTAAAGGAAGTCAATCTTACTTGCTCACCTAATATGGTCGCCAGTGTTGCATCACCAGAACAAGAAGCCAACAGTATTACTAAACCAAAAAAAAAGAACACTCTTATTGTACTAACTAGACGAGAAGACAGTCGTATTTCACCAGCTAAACTACAAGACAGTTGTATTGTACCATCTAAACAGGAAGATAGTCGTAATGTACCAGCTAAACAGGAAGACACTTGTATTGTACCAACTAAACAGGAAGACACTTGTATTGTACCAACTAAACAGGAAGACACTTGTATTGTACCAACTAAACAACAAGACAGTCGTATTGTACCAAATATAGAAGAGGCAGACAGTGTTGGACAATCAACACAGGTGACTGTTGACAGTGTTGCACAGTCAACACAGGTATCTAATGACAGTGTTGTGATATCTACAGAAGAGCTCTCGAGAATCATTCATGAGGCCAGCCACACACTGCGGCTTTCCCAAGGGCACCAGATCAGTAATCTTAACACTCTTAATACTAACCAAACAAACTTATTGGATCTTCAACCAGACCCTAGCCAACTACCGCAGAAGGTGCTGGTTCTCCTCCTGACGGTGGGCTTCCCGCAGCTCCCTGCCAGGGCCAAGTATATGTTACAGCGGCTTCAACATCTTGTTTATGTGGTGTGTTATCAGGACATAGAGTTTGACGATCATCATCTTGCAATGAGACTTCGAGGTCTCAGTAACGTGATCAGTGAATTGTTATCTATCGTTGTTCACTATTGCAAACAAGTGATAGAAAGAGATATCAAGGAGGTTGCAGATAAACTGCGTATAGCAAAACAGAGATTTAGAAAGGCTAAGAAAGTGTTTGAGGAACATGTGAATTTAGTCATGAAAACACGGGAAGACCTGAAGTCTGCTGAAAGGGACCTTCAAGAAGCTAAGATAAAAAATTCTAAACTTTTCAAAGTTTATTCAAGGTCACAAAGTCAGGAGCCAGAGGAAACGACCCGAGTTGCCAACGCTGACATTTGTGGCAGAGCGAGACGGCTGCATTCTGTAGGAGCCATAAGCAACTATACTTATACTGACGCCAGTGGTCAGAGGGATTCTGGGAACGTTTCATTGGCTGATGAATTAGATGGGCGTGGTTTAGAGACAAGGCGCCAGGATGGTGCTCGAGATGTCGGTGATAGTCTGTTTGTGAGCGTCATGAAAGAAGTGGTTGCCATCGAAAAGAAACACGGTAGTTTCAGAGAAGTAGACAGAAAGCTCAAGAAGATGCTAAGGAATTCCCAAGAGTCCGTCATCATGACAAAGAAAAAAGTGAGCGATAGATTAAATTCCAATGTTTCTGCTGAGCAAGACGCGATTGCAAAAGAGGACATCGTTAATGAGAGGTTTGCCGTGACAAACAAACTCGCCAAGGAAATAAGGAAATTTCGCCAAGATTATAAAGCTCTGCAAGAAGAAGAAAGTGTAATGATATCAGATATAACTGATGACGTAGAGACCAAGAGGATGATGGAGCTAAGCGAAGAGGCTCTATTTGAGGGCCGACGTGGTGTACAGACTCTGAGACGCGACGAACGTGGAAAACTAGTGACGACGACCAGGCAACACACGGCAGCGTCTTCCTCTAGTGCCGGGGTCTTTGACGTAGGGGAATGGCTTATGAGAAAGCGATTTGTTGCAACGGAAGTGAAGAAGGTTTACTCGAACCTGAAAGTAAACGATACAGAGGACATTGTGGATGTCCTGGAGATTCTTGGAACGAGTATTGAGAACCCATCAGTCGTCATTCTCTCTGGTCCTAAAGGCAGCGGGAAGTCTAGTATTTGCCACTATCTGCTGCACCAGTGGAGATTTGACAAATTTAAAAAAAACTCGAGGCTTCATGAGTTTGACTTAGTTGTGTACTGTAAACTAAGTGATATGCTCCCCTCAATGTCCTGGAACCAATACCTGAGGGATCACATTTTTTGCCTTACCCTCAAAGATTTCCCTGACACTGATATTTATGAGGCCCTCGGGACCATTACGGCACTTTTTCTGTTAGATCTTGGCACTCTTACATCTTCATATAGCGAGGTGTTAAAAGATGTCTTCAGTAATCTGGGGAAAAATCAAGCAGTTGTTACTGTCCGTCCGGGAAGCGAAAATGGTGTTGCGGAAATTGCTAAAGGTTTGAAGCTCGAATTTCTTAGAGCAAGTCTTTGCCCTATGACCCCTGAAGCCATTAAATATTATTCTTCAGTGCTCTTGTCCATGGTTGAAAAAAGCTCCTCTGTTGTAGCTAAAGTAAATCAGTTCACAAAATTACTTCAGACTATGAACGTAACAGAAACTCTACTGTACCCTCTGCCTGTGGCTTACCTGTTGCACGTGTGGCGCTTGGATCCTTGTTTTGCTCTCCGATCAACCTCAGTGTCTCACCTCTTTAGCCAGGTCATCATATTGTGTCAACAGACCTTGATGGAAGCTTTAAATGTGGAATTAAGAGGTGACAGGGTGTCCACAAGGGTGAGGGTGGAGCAGCTTACTCACCACCTGTATGAAGCTGCTTGGACACTTCTGACTCGTCAGAGTTGGGCCCAACACGACCACACGTTGCTCGAGCCCCAGCACAAGCTGATGGAAAATCCTCTCTTTCTCAATAGTTTTAGTCCTCTTCTTGTGGTGAGGGAGGAAACTGACAGAACACAGCGTGGAGTTCTTCCTCATGCTTCACTTGCTGAAATCCTTTGCGGGTTTTTCCTTACCAACCAAAGATTGCGACGTTCTAAAGGTTCGCCTTTGCTTCGTCGCCGCGAGAAATTGGAAAAATACTGTGTTCCTGAAATAAAAAGATTCAGATACGTACTGCCGCATGCAGCTGGAGCTCTTGTCTATAATAAACACAGTTTGAATGATGCCAAAGAAATAGCGTCTTTATACCTAAGATCATTGTCAGAAGATCGAGACATGATATCATGGCTGGTGCTGCTCAGGGAGTGTGACTTCATAACACACATGTGTACAGCAGCGTCGGGAGTGTTGTCCATTTACAACACATGGACAGTTGCCCATCACGACCAGCAAACCAACTGTGCTGTGTCCGATTTACTTAGAAAGGGAGCTTATCAGCCTCAGCTGATAATTATATCACAGACATTTCAAGGAGGAAAATGTAGGTGTGGGGGATCCTGTATTATCCGTGCCCTGTCCACCTGCTCTTCGACGCTGGTTCACCTTCGCCAGGAGTCTCAGTTCTACGCCTGGGGGGAAGAAGAAACCTGTGACTCTCTGGTGGTTCCCCTGCAGCCGCCGGGCACCTTGCAGGAGTGTTGGGGTCACCTCGGTGTGGAGGGAGCCATGGCTCTACGCCATAGCCATCACTTAGAGGAACTTAATGTCAGGATCTCCTCATGCGAGGCCTTAGCGGCCCTCGTACACAGCTTGGTGCACCTCCAACGCCGTCTCCGCTTCCTTTACATCCGTCTAGATATTTCTCCCTCAACGCCAGCCTCCAGCCTTCAACCACTCAATTTCACTGGCAGGCGGCTATGGTTGAGAATGAGGGGCATTAGTGACTCATCAGTGGACTGGATAAAGGATGTGACAAGCAGACTGAATAACTGGTATACGGAGGTATTATTGGAGGAAAGCCGTGTGTCCCCGTCTTTGCTGCAAGATCTCAAGGAAAGCCTACCTCACACTGACGTTCATATTTCCAGTTAACCTTGCTGCAGTTTTTCTCTGTATTTTGACAGCTATCGAATTATTTCGTTTAGTGTAATATATGTTTATCACGTCAACATAGACCACGAGTCAGTGTGATAACTATAACAATACTAGGCGATTTGTTTCTCTTATGTATACACATGCAATAAGATCACAGTAAACAGGTGATTTCATAATATGCAAAACAACCACTGTGAAAGAATAATGAAATTCTAAGCGCTTTCGTGACTACTCACAATATCAAGGAACAATAAATTTTTTCCTTGATGCTTCCTGCCGCCTCGGAAATGAAAAAAAAAATATTCTAAAGGTGTACATTCACCTATTGACCTCATCACATCAAAATGTACAGGCTACCAATGTGATTCTCCGGTGAAGTCCATAGTCGTCTTTGAAATTTGGTTTCAGACCAAGAGTGCTAAACATGTACAGTGTACATATACTTTTGAAACACATGACCGGTGTTCCACAAAGGTGTGCTTTGTTTTTATCTAGTGTATACACTTACACATTACCTCGTAACTATAAATGAAACTGTAAGAGTGGCCAAGGGCATGCAGGTGTGTTACATGAATCATAAAGACAACATATACAGGATGACTGGGGAGTCGAGTTGGTACAAAACATTCATCTGTACAGGGAAACTACAACAGGCTCTGCACACACCTACAACAGGTAGGCTACTTCTGTTCCCTGGGCGTTGGTGCTCTTGGCTCCTAGTGAACTGAATTGAATTTAATTGTTTATTACTCTGTAAAGATTACAATGTGGAGTTTACATATTATAAAATATTAATTACAATGTGGGGATTACATATAAAATATTAATTACAAAGAAACCCACTAGCATGCCTAGGCATTTCGGTCATTGGGGAGAGACGAGTGAAGTTAAGTGTAGTGCCTTGATACTGTTGAAGTGCCGTTTACCCAAGGAATTGGAGATACTTTTCTATTCCTTGGATCAATTCTTATTTCTGTATGGTGCGACTCAGAACGAAAAGTTATAGCATCCACACTTTTTGGCACTGGCCACAGTCTGCAAAGCTAAAATTTATATTCAAGCCTTCATAATTAAAAAATACATTAATGTATTAGCAATTAATGGTTAAATGAATGTACGTACTGTATTACTACTTAAAAATGAGCTCGTCAGTTCTTCGTATGGAATATTTTGTCTTCTGAAATTTACTGTAGCCTACTAACCTTATCTCTCAGGTGTTTAGAAACTGTCCGATATACTGTAAAATACTTCATTGACATTTTAGCATTTCCAGAGCAACATTATTCAGTCATCATCATTCTCAACAATGGTCCTAACGCAATGGCAGTTCCTGCCAACGCCAGGTCACCAGGTGCAGGGGTTTGTGGTTGTGTCTGGGAGCATGGAGCCTCTTCGGGAGGAATGCCACAGGGTGCTTGCACGACTAAGAACCCATCATCTCTTTCGGCATAAATGGTGGGGATATTTCCACACCAGTGCTGGGTCAGTGCTGGGCCCCCTGCTGTTCACAATATACATAAACGACATAGATGAGGGCATAAAGAGCGACATCGGCAAGTTTGCCGATGACACCAAAATAGGCCGTCAATTCATTCTGATGAGGACATTCGAGCACTCCAGGAAGATTTGAATAGACTGATGCAGTGGTCGGAGAAGTGGCAGATGCAGTTTAATATAGACAAATGCAAAGTTCTAAATGTTGGACAGGACAATAACCATGCCACATATAAACTAAATAATGTAGATCTTAATATTACGGATTGCGAAAAAGATTTAGGAGTTCTGGTTAGCAGTAATCTGAAACCAAGACAACAGTGCATAAGTGTTTGCAATAAAGCTAATAGAATCCTTGGCTTCATATCAAGAAGCATAAATAATAGGAGTCCTCAGGTTGTTCTTCAACTCTATACATCCTTGGTTAGGCCTCATTTAGATTATGCTGCACAGTTTTGGTCACCGTATTACAGAATGGATATAAATTCTCTGGAAAATGTACAAAGGAGGATGACAAAGTTGATCCCATGTATCAGAAACCTTCCCTATGAGGATAGACTAAGGGCCCTGAATCTGCACTCTCTAGAAAGACGTAGAATTAGGGTGGATATGATTGAGGTGTATAAATGGAAGACAGGAATAAATAAAGGGGATGTAAATAGTGTGCTGAAAATATCTAGCCTAGATAGGACTCGCAGCAATGGTTTTAAGTTGGAAAAATTCAGATTCAGGAAGGATATAGGAAAGTACTGGTTTGGTAATAGAGTTGTGGATGAGTGGAACAAACTCCCGAGTACAGTTATAGAGGCCAGAACGTCGTGTAGCTTTAAAAATAGGTTGGATAAATACATGAGTGGATGTGGGTGGGTGTGAGTTGGACCTGATAGCTTGTGCTACCAGGTCGGTTGCCGTGTTCCTCCCTTAAGTCAATGTGACCTGACCTGACTAGGTTGGGTGCATTGGCTTAAGCCGGTAGGAGACTTGGACCTGCCTCACATGGGCCAGTAGGCCTTCTGCAGTGTTCCTTCGTTCTTATGTTCTTATTTATGCCAGAAATGTGAGCAAATATTATCTAGTTTGCTCGCATTTCTGGCCTATGTCATTGGAGTTTCATGGACATGGATTGTGGAATGTGGAAAATAGTTTTTGAATAGTTTTACCGCATTATGTAACACGAGTACCTTGGTCACGACAACACCAATATTGATGGTACAGATTTAGTTATATGATGTTAGAAACGGAATATGTTTAAAGAGCTGAATAACCAGAACTTTAAAGTGCTTTTTGTAAATACAACAGAACAATGTGATGGCAGTTTTTTTTTTTTGTAAGGCAGTTGTGTACCAGGAGCCATGTATTTACAGTAATGCTAACTAGGATATGGTTATGGAGAATATAGTACAGTTTATTAACTTCACGTTGCACGTTTTATGATAATTTAAATTTGTTTTCCTTATCATTTCTTTAAATTTTAATTAAAATTAGTCGACACACCAAAAAAATCAAGATAATTTTGTGTAACTTTTAACTCCCTTCAAGCTAGGTTCCTTGATATTGATTAGGGAATTTGGATCTGTGCTCCAATTCCCTGAATTAATCTTGTCGATGTATAATCCCCACAGGTTTAGCGCTCCCCATAATAATAATAATGTGTAACTTTAAAATTAAAGCTTAGCTATTATTTTTAAGAAAATTAATATTCACTGAGATGTTTGACTCTGTGTATATAACCTGAGTTTAATCCTTATTTTAGTGTTAAAATATCCTTGATTTGTAGTGTAAAGATTACATGCATCATAATAATCATCAGTAATATATATATATATATATATATATATATATATATATATATATATATATATATATATATATATATATATATATATATATATATATATATATATATATATATATCCAGGAAGACACTTCAGTGTTATTAAGATAGGTTCACAGTGTTTATCCCCTATATATAAAAGCCTGTGGAAAATTACATTTATCTGTATGTATAATTATGTACATAACAATAAATGAGCATAGATAATTATTATTTATCAGTTAGACAAGTAGGAATTTGGGACACCTAGGTCGCAAAAATGTCCCCCTTCGACACCTACCACTGTCATATCCACAAGTTGCTCTGGACCTATCAATTAAATGAATTATACATCACCAGGAATTCTGGTAAATATATAAATTTGTGGACTGTATATTAAATTAAAAAATGATTATATATAAATACACAATTACATAACAGAAGGAAAATATATCTTAATATCACTCACCAATTTGACTGGAGATTAATGTGTATTATACCCAGAAAACCTCACTCGAAATTTATGAAATTACTGGCCAGAATTAAACATAAACAGACTTATCTGAGGTTCCTGGAGCTGTGTTGTCCAGTCGCCTGACACACAAATTATGCAGGAATGCACATCCAACAATTTCGCCTCCTATTTGAGAGGTGTCAGCCCAATTTCAACCTCTAGAGTACGAAAATTCCTTCCCATCACACCAGCGTTGTACACAATTCAAAACCAAGATGGCGAGTCCCGTCTGCGCAGACGCAGGCTTTCCGTTTTCTATGACATAAATATTATTAAATACAGTATGGCCATCTATTTACATATAAATACTGAATTTCTGGAAAATATATACAGTATTTTCCACAAAGCCCACAGTTATGCAAAACACTATGTAATTGATAGGCATTAAACTGAACTTAAAAAAAAACATAACTTATGTTTCCTTGATTATTAATTTTAGGTATTTGCGCATGATGAGGACGGGTCCTCGGTAAATCAAAAGGTAGTATTTCGTATCCAACATGGAGCTCAAGACAAGTTCGTGATGGAGGCAGACACTGGAGTAATCTCTGTGGCCCAGGGTGCTCTGCTGGACCCGGACAGGACAGAACCCAGAGCCACTACTTACATCCTGGAAGTGATCGCCCTGGATGGTGGCATTGGCACTGCCCAGCTCCAGGCCAGGACAGTTGTCAACATTACAATTCTTGATGTTAATAACAAACCACCTGTCTTCAAGGACCCTGGGAGTGTCAGGTAAGCCAGATGTTCTGATTTATAACTAATGTAAAGCCATGATTTGTTATGCAGTTTGCGTGGGAATTAATAATAATAATAATAATAATAATAATAATAATAATAATAATAATATTATTATTATTATTATTATTATTATTATTATTTGCATCCTGAAGTGCTACGTGACAGGAAGTCACAGGAAAAAAGTTAAAATTTATTTAAACAGAAATTACAGGAGAAAAACGTATTTTAATAGAAAAAATTGAATATATTTCGACAGTGAAACTGTACTTAGTTTATTAGAGCAAAGTTCGTGATGTTTATACCGCTTTTTTAATATTTATTATTACGACTTAAGCAGTGGCATGATTGATGGAGGAGCTGCCAGACCACCTCGAGCACACTTGGTGGTTTTGTGTGTGTATGTACTCACCTAATTGTGGTTACAGGGGTCGAGACTTGGCTCCTGGCCCCGCCTCTTCACTGATCGCTACTAAGTCCTCTCTCTCTCTGCTTCCTGAGCTTTGTCATACCTCGTCTTAAAGCTATATATGGTTCCTGCCTCCACTACATCACTTGCTAGGCTATTCCATTTACTGACGACTCTATGACTGAAAAAATACTTCCTAACATCCCTGTGACTCTTCTGATTTTTTCAGCTTCCAATTGTGACCCCTTGTTTCTGTGTCCCCTCTCTGGAACATTCTGTCCCTGTCCACCTTATCTATTCCACACAGTATCTTGTATGTCGTTATCATGTCTCCCCTGACCCTTCTGTCCTCCAGCGTCGTCAGTCTGATTTCCTTCAACCTTTCCTCGTACGACATTCCCCTGAGCTCCGGAACTAGCCTTGTTGCAAACCTTTGTACTTTCTCAAACTTCTTGACGTGCTTGACCAGGTGTGGGTTCCAAACTGGAGCTGCATACTTCAATATGAGCCTGACGTACACGGTGTACAGTGTCTTGAACGATTCCTTACTAAGGTATCGGAATGCTATTCTCAGGTTTGCCAGGCGCCCATATGCTGCAGCAGTTATCTGGTTGATGTGTGCCTCTGGAGACATGCTCGGTGTTATGGTCACCCCAAGATCTTTCTCCTTGAGCGAGGTTTGCAGTCTTTGGCCACCTAGCCTATACTCTGTCTGCTGTCTTCTTTGCCCTTCCCCAATCTTCATGACTTTGCATTTGGCAGGGTTGAATTCGAGAAGCCAGTTGCTGGGCCACGTGTCCAGTCTGTCCAGGTCTCTTTGTAGTCCTGACGCCTGATCCTGTGTGTGTGTGCTATTGCCTTTTTCAGCTGCTGTATCCTTCCTCATTTCGTATGCATTTTGAAGCACTTAAAAAATATGTCTGGAGATCTTGATCAATCGACAAAAGTTTACCACAGCTTAAATTAGGCCAGTTTCACATTTTTGCAGAATTATTAACTATTAGTTCTAAGTGCTTAAACATTAAAAATTTGATAAAAAGCAAAATGACAGTTACTGCCATAAAATAAATGTTTGATGTCCGAAAATATAACAATCTAAATATGGCCCATAAGACGAGGAAATTTCACAATTTTTTCAAGTTTGGGTAAAGGTAATAATTGGAGCCTTTTAATGTACTAGGTGCTGCCTCTTTTACGTGCTCACTACCCATGATGTTAGATCCTGGTTATACCACTGATTACTAGATTGAGTTAGTTAAAGTTGTATGGGTACATACATGAGTGTGTGGTTGGGGGTAAGTAGAACTTGCTAAGCATGGTCCATTAGGCTTACTCCATACCTGAAGGATGTTTTGAGGGGTCAATGCCCTCATGGCCCAGACTCAAACTAGGCCTCATGGTGCATCAAGGTCTAATCAGCCAGGAGGACATTGGCCTAGTTCCCTCTTGAAGATAACAAGGCATATGTTGGTATTTTCCCAATGTACGACGGGAGACTTGAAAAGTGTTGGGCCTTTTCAAATCGAATCAAATTAAAAGTTTATTCTTTATAAAGATTACAATGTGTAGTTTCCATATTATAAAATATTGGTTACAGTGTGTGGTTTACATATTATAAATTACTAATTACAGAGAGGGCCATAATCAAGCCTAGCATGACTAGACATTTCGGGCAGACTAATAATAATTCAAACTTTATATTGATACAGGTTATGGAGCATATTGATATTAAGGCTAGATAACTGCATTACAGTTTGTAAATTTAGCAATGAGAATGGTTTTACGCTATTGTGTTATCTATTAGTATATTCATGGCACCATCTGCCAAGCTTCTTGTTTTCATGGAAAGCACTTTCTCTGTGCAGATTTGGGACCCAGTCCCCCTAGGATTTTCCAGGTGTTACTTATAATACAACTTTCTTGCCCAAGTTCCAAGGAGTACAGATTGAGGGGACTTCAGATGTCAGTAAGTTTATTCAGGTACAGATACACAAATGCATTTACTTTTTAGGGTTATCCTAAGTAATCTACACATATGCTGCTATGTATGATAATTTATGTAACTATTTATGTGTACCTGTACCTGAATACACTTACATACTTAATCATACATAGCAGCATATGTGTAGATAACCTAGGATAACCCCAGAAGAGTCAGAGTGACTTATTTCCATTGAGGTCCCCATAATTTAGGTGTTTTACTGAATTTATATATGTAGTGAAGGTTCTCTGTACATACTCTTGTACTGCAGTTTCATCTGCCTTGAAAGGGCAGGTGAAACTGCCCTGTACTGTACAAGTACAGTACAGTACTGTCTTTGACCCATTGGAAGATTTGGTATATATCTGCATGGAGATTTGAAGTGCCCTCCATGAATTCCACTCTAATACAAATTCTAGTATCTGCAGAAGGATGATTCAGTGCTAATGTAACTGGGAATGAACAAGATTCAATCCTATGGCAAGCTAGTCATGAAATTAACAGGCCATTGTTCTCATCACTACACCATACTGGCCTAATAAGATTAACCCAACTAGTTATAATTCTGTACACTAGGGATTTTATCATGGGCTCCACTAACTACAAGTGCAGGTTTTTCAAACAAATCTGACACCAGCATGGTTGTGGCAAGGCCTAGCATGAGCCCCTTCAAAGCAGTTATTAGGTTATTCCCATAGATCAAAGTGAGACTAAATTAAGCATCATGTGGCCAGAGGTTACAGTTATCTTAAATGTAATTTATGTAACTTTTTCCTAGATTCAACTCTAAATCCATAAAGTTTATACAGAACCTGGGGAATGGGAAGAGTGGGAGTAATCAGGTTAGAAATAATGTTTAGTAATAATAGTGTAATACTATTGTTGAATTTATGCACAGTTTCACTATATACTTGTAAGATGTACTGTTTTAAACCTTTTCTTCAATAATGGTACACTCAGTTTTTTCCACTCAGGGTCTTTGAAAATGAAGATATTGGGTCATATGTGTATCGTGTGGAGGCTATGGACCTGGATGCTCGACCCCGCCTTCGCTATTCCATTGACGCCCACAGTTCTGAGGCTAGAAACGAGGAGGGTGCAATTGTTAAGGTAAAAAGAGGGATACTATTAACAAATAAATGACAATATAAATAAGATAGAGGCAGGGTATTATTGACATAAAATGAGGGTAGCACCAGTGTAGGAGAAGGAAGGTGCCACTCCCCTCATTTTGACCCTTTAGGGTTAAAACAAGATTGTCATTGTTAAGGTACAAAAGTTTTTTTTGTCAAGATTAGGGAAAAGGAATAGAAAATTAATACTACATATAGGCACATTGTATTTTAAGACCAAATATGTATTTATATATTAAATGAAGTTTATTTAAAAGATGCTCTGGTTATTTTACAGTACATCAATATGTCCAATGGCTTTCTATTAGCTTTTGTTAAAATTACTGTATCTCAAACGTGCTTTAAATTGTCATACTGTTTCAAGTGATAACTTACTGTACAGTAATAGGCATATACAATGCTGTATATAATTTCGGAAACATCAATATTGTTTTATTTTCACACTATGACCATTCTCTAGCTACATTTGATCTATCTTACAGCCATCAGAGTATGACTTTGCTGGTGCTTTTGAGATCAGTCAGGTAGAAGGCGTGATTCGAACTGTAAATCAGCTGGATCGAGAAAAAGTTGAAGTGATCCGACTTGGGATTGTTTGCGAGGATATAGAAGCTGCAACAGAGAAGCAAACAGCTACAGCAACACTGACTATCATTGTGGAAGACACCAATGACAATGACCCACATTTCCGTAAATCATTTTACCGAAGAAGCATTGCGGAAAATGCTAAAAAGGGAACAACTGTTGTGACAGTTGTGGCCGATGATGTGGATAAGAATCGCACTATCTCCTACTCATTACAAGTGAGTTATATTCCCATAGCCTTGTTTTAAATTTTTTTACAGTAGTATATTTATTTATAATCATGATGTATAATTATGTAAATACAATTGCCATTCATTATTATTATTATTATTGTCATATTTATAGGGAAGCACTAAACTTGTAAGGGTAATACAGAACCTCTGGGGAATGAGAGGTAATCAGGTTGATTCAAGGAAGGGGAGGATACCTCCAATTCATTGGATCAATAATGATTCACCAAAGTATAGACACCCCCTATGATTGGGTGTTACTCATATAGTACTGTATTTTATATAAGCACATTGATGTAGTGACTTGCATTTGTAATTTTTTCTATAGAAGACAGTGATGTACATGTACACCTACTCTAATATATTTGAATTTTATGTGTTTCACTTCCACCATAGTAAATAACAAGATCACAAGACACTGTATATAATATGCATGCATGTGCAACATTGCATGTATATACTGTACAGTATATGCAGTTATAATAACTGAAATAATCTCTTGCCATAAAGGGACCATCTGAGATATTGTCACTTGTGAATCTTGATCCTGAAACTGGGGAGATTGTTGTTGCTGAGCGTGTGGACCGGGAGCAGTTCTCATGGTTAAACTTTACAGTTCAAGCCACCGACTCAGGTGTACCTCCTCGCTCAAATACTGCAAATGTTGTAGTTCAGGTGAGATTATGGTACTTTTGTACTTTGTTACAATTAGACCACTCACTATCCTGTCTTTTTAAAGGATTGCCAAAATTAGTTTCACTTAAAAAATAACCTATTGTCGTTTATAGGATAATTACTGTACAGTACTTAAATTATAGTGTAACTACTACTACTATTATTATTATTATTATTATTATTATTATTATTATTATTATTATTATCATTATTATTATCATTCTTTCAACAAACCAGCCGTATCCCACCGGGGCAGGGTGGCCCAAAAGGAAAAACAAAAGTTTCTCTTTTTAAATTTAGTAATATATATACAGGAGAAGGGATTATTAGCCCGTTGCTCCTGGCATTTCAGTCGCCTCTTACGACACGCAATGGCTTACAGAGGAAGAATTCTGTTCCACTTCCCCATGGAGAGTTCTTTCTTTCTTTCAACACACCAGCCGTATCCCACCAAGGCGGGGTGGCCTAAAAGGAAAAACAAAAGTTTCTCCTTTCACATTTAGTAATATATACAGGAGAAGGGGTTACTAGCCCCTTGCTCCTGGCATTTTAGTCGCCTCCTACAACATGCATAGCTTACGGAGGAAGAATTCTGTTCCACTTCCCCATGGAGATAAGAGGAAATAAACAAGAACAAGAACTAGTAAGAAAATAGAAGAAAACCCAGAGGGGTGTGTATACATATGCTTGTACATGTATGTGTAGTGTGACCTAAGTGTAAGCAGAAGTAGCAAGACATACCTGAAACCTTGCATGTTTATGAGACAGAAAAAACACCAGCAATCCTACCATCATGTAAAACAATTACAGGCTTTCATTTTACATTCACTTGGCAGGACGGTAGTACCTCCCTGGGCAGCTGCTGTCTACCAACCTACTACCTAGGCCATGGAGAGTTATTATTATTATTATTATTATTCAAGTATATTAGCAAAAATTGAACCAAGCTTATATGATATCGGAATAAAAGACTCTTAATTTTATTGCACCAATGATGTATTTGAATCACTTATTTTAATTCGTTTATTGTTACTGTTTTTATATTTCACAAAAAGTGCTAAGCCAGTATAGAATATTCAGAACATTACCATAGTGTATTTAAAATAGATAGCAAATGAATAAATGTTGAGACATAATCAGTTAATACCATATACTAGTCATAGGTTCCTTGTGTCTCTGGTGTAACATGAGCTACTCCCTCACTATAATAGACCAGAATAGAATGTTAGATTTATAAAATAACTTTATTGTAAGAGGAAACTAAAATGCCAGGAGCAAAAGGCTAGTAACCCCTTCTCCTGTATAAATTACTAAATGTAAAAAGAAAAATAGGTAGTAGGTTGGTAGACAGCAACCGCCCAGGGAGGTACTCCCATCCTGCCAAGTGAGTGTAAAACAAAAGCCTGTAATTGCTTTACATGATGGTAGGATTGCTGGTGTCTTTTTTCTGTCTCATAAACATGCAAGATTTCAGGTACGTCTTGCTACTTCTTACACTTAGGTCTCACTACACATACATACATGTATACAAGCATACATGTATATATATACTCACCCCTCTGGGTTTTCTTCTATTTTCTCTCTAGTTCTTGTTCTTGTTTATTTCCTCTTATCTCCATGGGGACGTGGAACAGAATTCTTCCTCCGTAAGCCATTCATGTTATAAGAGGTGACTAAAATGCCGGGAGCAAGGGGCTAGTAACCCCTTCTCCTGTATAAATTACTAAATTTGAAAAGAGAAACTTTTGTTTTTCTTTTTGGGCCACCCTGCCTTGGTGGGATATGGCCGGTTTGTTGAAAGAAGAAGATATACTTGTACATGCATGTGTAGTGTGACTTAAGTGTAAGTAGAAGTAGCAAGACATACCTGAAATCTTGCATGTTTACGAGACAGTAAAAAACACCAGCAATCCTACCATCATGTAAAACAATTACAGGCTTTTGTTTTACACTCACTTGGCAGGATGGTAGTACCTCCCTGGGTGGTTTACACTACAGCACTTAACAAAAAAAAAAAAAGTTAAAATATTTAATGTGTTTCAGGTAATTGACGAGAATGACAACAATCCAGTTTTTGTGAACCCTCCCTCCAACCTAACTATCAGAGAAGATGCCCCTCCTGGCACACAGGTAGCTGCTGTCACAGCAGTAGATGCAGATTCTGAAGATTATGGACTAGTAACTTATCTTCTTGACAGAAAATCCTCTCATGGAAAATTTAAGGTGGGAATAATTTTTTTACATCTTCTTGCATTCTTGTTTAGGTTATTTTAATGTACCTGGTTTGATGATGTCAAAAACTAGCAAAGTTGTATACAGTATATAAATAACACTTAACAGTTAATGTACATAAACATGTAAAAAATTTGCCACTTTGACTGCTATAAAGGAAATGCCTTTCTCTCAGTTGGGCAAGAAAAATACAGTATGTGGAAATGCTGAAGAGTGCCTTAGTAATCTTATACAAGTGAGACTAGGAAAAAAAACAAACAAGTAAAGAGAAAGATAGAGAATGTAGTAGACCACCACATTTCTAGTGTAACCATAGTATTGATATAGATTTGTAAGTGTATTGCATATATATATAATATAATACTGTATTTAAGTTTGTCAGATTCATAGTTATGTTTTTACAGATTGATCCTGATACTGGGGTTATTACTGTGGCTTCTTCCTTAAATCGTGAAGAGTTGAGCACCTTCAACCTACTTATTGAAGCTTGGGATAACTATCAGTTTGGATACTCTGCAGGCGAGTCCAGGAATGCCTTCATGCAGATTGGGTAAGTTATTATTTGCAATTTAATTTCAGAAGAATAAGTCACAATACTGTGACTGAAATAATTCACAAATAACCCACACTTAGGAGAGGAAACTTTAGTGAACATTTCACTCCATCTTGGACCATTATCAAGTCACAACTGAACAAAAAATGGGAGAAGCCAGAAGATAGGTCTGAAAGCAGGAAAGGAAAGAAATTTAAAAGATGGGTCAGGTGACGACAAAGGCCAGAAAGCGGGATAGATAATAATAGTGGTAGTAATGTATAGAAGTAGTAGTAGTAGCAGTGGTAATGGTAAATTGAGGAAATTTCATCTCAAGTCGATGGAAAAATTGGGCAACTCCACCCTCTACACACACATCAGAAAGGGGGACACAAAGAAACACAAAAGAAGATTTTAGGAGCACTGCACTTTGCAAAGTGGCCAATGCTAAGATATAAGAAGCCAGTAAGAAGAAAATCCAGAGACAGAAGATAAGCCAAGTGAAAAGATTAGAAGTTCAAGGTCAGGTCAAGTCAAGAGCATCCTGGAAATTAGAGCATTTGACAATGCATTGTCAAATTTATTTCAGTATTTTTATTCTTCCTTCTTTCAACACACCGGCCGTATCCCACCAAGGCAGGGTGGCCCAAAAAGAAAAACGAAAGTTTCTCTTTTAAATTTAGTAATTTATACGGGAGAAGGGGTTACTAGCCCCTTGCTCCCGGCATTTTAGTCGCCTCTTAGAACACGCATGGCTTACGGAGGAAGAATTCTGTTCCACTTCCCCATGGAGATAAGAGGAAATAAACAAGAACAAGAACTAGAAAGAAAATAGAAGAATACCCAGAGGGGTGTGTATATATATATGCTTGTACATGTATGTGTAGTGTGACCTAAGTGCAAGTAAAAGTAGCAAGACATACCTGAAATCTTGCATGTTTATGAGACAGACAAAAGACACCAGCAATCCTACCATCATGTAAAACAATTACAGGTTTTTGTTGTACACTCACTTGGCAGGACGGTAGTACCTCCCTGGGCAGTTGCTGTTTACCAACCTACTACCTAGGAGTATTTTTATTATTTTACTGAAATTAATGAACTCTGATGATGCAAAATTAGGCAACAAAACTTACACATTGTAAAAAGAAACCATTTAACATTAATTCTTTTATAGCTTGAGTATGCTGCCTTTTTTGTTATTTTCCGTCAAGAAAGCATGCTTTTTAGAAGATAACAGAGAACTTTTTTCTGAAGGGTGCCATATACAGTAGCTTAGAATATGAAATGAATAAATAGTAGCAGAAAATATGCAGGTGCATATAAGAAGCATCTTGAATTGGAAATAAAGCAAAGATGGGTTTTTATTTTATATCTTTGTTTCTATAAGCACATGTACAAGGTATACAGGTCTAGCTGACATCAGTGACATACTACTGTATAGAAAGCCCCTTGTTATGCAGAGCATTTCCTGCAAATTAGGTCAGTTTTGTCCCAGGATGTGACCCACACCAGTTGACTAACACCCATTTTATGAAGACTCCCTCAGATGTATGGCATAAACTGACATACATCTTGATGCATTTTGATTGCAAATGAAATACAAGTGATGCGAGATATTGTAATTACTTAAAATACTAATCCCTTAATTTTTTTATCACTCCATCTATCTTTCACTTAGGCAGGGTGACCCAACAAAGAAGAAACACTTTCACTGTCTCTCTCAATCACTGTCTTGCCACAAGCATGCTGACATTGCAGTTCAGATGATTCTGCACACCATAACATCCCCACCCCTCCTTCAGAGTACAGGCACTATTCTTCCCTCCAGAACTCAAGTTTGGCTAATTCGTTTCCCTGAGTACCTTAAATAAGCTTATAATTCCCTTCCCTCACCTGTCTAAGACTTTTAAGTTTAATTAAGGGATTACTATGAACTAGCCATTCTTACAATCACATCTAATCACTTCTCTTGTATTTGTAATAAACTTTTGGTTATTATATTGAGTAGTCTTACACTCAGTGTTTTATCAACCTAGGTTGTTAATTAATGTTTTACTATGAGGGGCACCATAGTATCTGATTAACAGTTGCTACTGATAGCCATTGATGAATGGCTTATACCCATTGCTGAAGTATAAGAAAAATACAACATGACTTAATGCTTTCTATAAAACTGGTCCATGTTATGTTAAGGTTACAAAATTTAATTATATAAAAGTGTCACCGTAAGATGTATTACCATATTATTACATTCATGGGAAATAGCTAAACCTGTAGGGGTCATATACCACATAGGAAATGGGAGGTAATCAGGTTTGATCCAAGGAAGGGGAAGGTAGCTCTAATGCCTTGGATTACACCATAAGATGTAGGAAATCGTGTAAAGCTATTTCAAGCATTTGGCACATGTCTTCTACACTTTTTATCTTTAGGTGTTCTGTTACCTACCCATTAAAATAGTTTAATTTTCTTATATTTTTATTTTAGTGTGACTATCGCTGATATCAATGATGAAGCCCCAGTTTTTGAGGAGCGAGAAGGTTGCACAATGATCACAGAGTTCCATGAACCAAGAGATACAGTCACTGTTGTGAGAGCTACTGATGGCGATGATCCATCTTCACCTAATGGAAGAATTCTTTTTACTATTGAGGGTGGTAATGAAAAAGGTATGTCGTACTGGAATAAAATCCCCTATGGTATATTGATGTAAAGTGTGCATGTTATCGAATGTACTTGCATATAATAATAATAATTCACTGTGTTCGTATATAATGGATATATAATTTGTCTGTTTTTCTAGGTTTATTTGATGTTCGTGTAATAGAACAAACCGCTGCTCAGATATTTGCTGCAAAACCATTGGTAGGACAATATGGAAACTACTCATTGTTAATACAAGCACAAGACAGAGGATTTCCACCAAATTCTGTTACATCACAGATCAATATTTGTGTGGCTGATTTTAATGATCATGCACCTCAGTTTGTCTCTCCATCAGCTAATCTAACAATACGTGTTCCTGAGGTTAGTCTTCACTTTTTTTTATAATTAGGTTTTGCACTTTTCAGAATAAATATTGAACCATGATTCTTCAATTTTTAGATGTGTTGTGTATTTGTACACATAAATCTCAGGTGTTGACATAATGTTTGTTTATTCTAAAATTTTAGTACCCATGTAAAGTAGGATGTATTTTCTCAGCAATAAATTCTGTGTGGGATATTATTTTTAACATGTAATATCATTGTCAGAATGCCACTGTTGGAAGTTTGGTGATCCAGGTGCGAGCCACAGATGAAGATATAGGAATAAATGGAGCAGTACATTACAGAATCTTAAAAGATGCATTAGGTAACTGGCAGACATTCACCATTGATCAGGTTACAGGGGCAGTACTACTTCAGAAACCGCTTGATCGAGAGAGACAAAAGATTTACGAGGTTAGTATTTTGTTATCAGATTTATTTAAGTTGTGCATCTTTTGCAGTTTAAATGTTGCTTTCATAATTCCATCGTTTCTGTATGTGGTTCACGATAGAAAGTATGTTGCAATTTTGTTTCACCCATTCAGTATTGTATTTTAATGATGAAATCTATAACATACATCATTTCACTACAGATCCGTGTTGAAGCATATGATCAAGGCGTTCCAACCCCACTATCTAGTGATCTTGACTTGACTATTTACGTCAGAAATGTAAATGACTTTGAGCCTCAGTTCTTGCAAGATGAAGTAACAGTAAATTTTACAGGTAAGAGAAACTTTATTTTTAATAGTGGCCATCTCCCATTGAGGTAAGGTTACCTGAAAAAGAAGAAACACTTTCATCATCATTCATTCAGTCAGTCTTGCCAGAAGTATACTGACATAACAGTTCAGATGACCCCTCAAACTGCAACATTCCCATCACTCCTTCAGAGTGAAGGCACTGTACTTCCTGCCTGTAGAACTCAAGTCTGGCTAACCAGTATCCCTGAATCTCTTTGTAAATGTTTCCTTGTTTACACTTCAACAGCACATCAAATCATAAAAACCACTGGTCTCCACTCACTCAAGCCTCTTAATGTCCAAGCCCCTCAAACACAAAACCTTTACCCTCCCTCCCTCCCTCCTACCTTTCCTAGGATGACTTGTATCCCTCCTTCCCTCTACCCCACATGTACTATGCAATTAAAAAAAATTAGTTTTAGCTTTATTTATTGTATTAAACTAGATAGTCATACATAGCTGTAAATGCATTTCACTATATATAGAACTCATTTTGAATACTGAATAGAAGTTTGTATATATTTTCTTACACTATAATAATAATAAAAATTATAATATTTTTTTTTACCTCAATGGGCATGTCCCATCAAGGCAGTGTGACCCAAAAAGAAAACACATTTACTATTATTCAACTGCTGTCTTGTCAGAAGTCTGCTGATATCACAATCAGTGATATCATCACCCTACTTCTGAGTGAAGGCACTGTACTTCCCATCTATGGTACTTAAGTCGGGCTTACTAATTTTGCCTGAATTCTTTCATATATGTTAACTTGCTTACCCTCCAAGTCTTCCTATATTGCTCCATCCTCTCTAAATGACCAATCACCTCAACAACCCTTCCTCAGCCCTCTGGATAATACTTTCAGTATTCCACACCTCCTAATCTCCAAACTACGAATTCTCTGCATAATATTGACGTTACACATTGCCCTTAGACACATCATCTCCACTGCCTCCAGCCTCCTCCTCCTCTGCAAAATTCAAAACCCATGTTTCACACCCATATAAGAATGTTGGTACTACTACACACTCATACATTCCCCCTCTTTGCCTCCATAGATAATGTTTAAGTCTCCACAGATACCTCAATTCACCACCTACCTTTTTTCCTTCATCATTTCTGTGGTTTACCTTGTCTTTCATGTACCCATCTGCTGACATGTCCACTCCCAAATATCCGAACACATTCACCTGTATGAGACAGCCGACTTGTGAAAAAAAAAAAATTCACCTGTATATGTTGTGTGTGTACTCATGCTTTTAGAAACTCAAATTTGCTGTTATAATTTATTTTAGTAAATGAGGATTGGTAAGATCAAGTGTAGTATTTCACTGAAGTAGTTTTCATTTATGTAGAATTTAGATTTATGAGGTGTGACTGTACTTGATTGTGTGAGATTTTTATTGCATTATTCATTAGAACTAGGAACCAAAGTTGTGAAATTTATAATTTATTGATTTTAAAGTGGCATTACAGGTTTTTCATGCATTCTACTTTCTTGTTTTAACTAGTAATCAATTCTACAGAACATAAGGCACCAGGTACAGAAAGGGCAAAGTTAGCAGACACAGTAGACCTGGATGATGTTGATGAAGACAGAAGTGCCCATGTATGTTATTTCATCGTTGGTGGAGATGAATATGGAACTTTTAATCTTGAGAGTTTCTCGCATGAACTTTCAGTAAGTACAGAATAAAAAAATATTCCTATTACACTTCATTAGATTTATTTTAATAAAAAGCAGTAGAAATGTGCTACAGTAATTGTACATGTTGATAAAATATGAAAGAGAAATCTATGAATGCATACAGAAATTTCATTAAATTTCTGTATGTTCTTTGCATCTTAGGTGACTTTTATGCAAGTGCTAGATATCAGAAGAATGATTAGATTTGATTTTTCCAAAAGCTTTTACAAGTACTGCTGCAGTGATTGAAAATTTCGTTTGAAATTATTATAGAAACTAAGGTTTAGTGATACTGAGGATGACAGTTGTAATCTTTGTGAATGTCATTTATTATCATCATCATCATTATCACCTCATTACTCATGTGAGGCAGCTACTAGTAAAGAATAGAAAAGAATACACTAACAGGATTTTTTATTTTTTTTATTAACACATCGGCCATTTCTCACCAAGGCAGGGTGGCCTGAAAAAGAAAAACTTTCATCATCATTACTGCCTTGCCAGAGGCATGCCTACACTACAGTTATAAAACTGCAGCATTAACACCCCTCCTTCATAGTGCAGACACTGTACTTCCCATCTCCAGGACTCAAGTCCAGCCTGTTGGATCCCTTCATAAATGTTACCTTCATAAATGAATCCCTTCACAAATGTTACCTTGCTTCCACTCCAACAGCACGTCAAGTCCTAAAAAACCATTTGTCTCCATTCGCTCCTGTCTAACATGCTCGTGCACGCTTGCTGGAAACCCAAGCCCCTCACACACAGAGTATACCAGGGTATACCACAAATTCTAACCATACAATGGAGAGGAAAAGTAATGTGAAGGACCTGGGAGTGATAATGTCAGAGGATCTCACCTTCAAAGACCACAACAATGTATCTACCTCATCCGCTAGGAAAATGATAGGATGGATAATGAGAATCTTCAAAACTAGGGAGGCCAAGCCCATGATGATTCTCTTCAAATCGCTTGTGCTCTCTAGGCTGGAATACTGCTGTACACTAATGGCCCCCTTCAAGGCTGGCGACATTGCAGACCTGGAGAGTGTACAAAGAACTTTCACGGCACACACAAGTGCAATAAGGCAACTAAACTATTGGGAAAGGTTGAAGGTCCTTGATCTGTATTCCCTTGAATGCAGGCGAGAGAGATACATGATAATATACACTTGGAAGGTCCTGGAGGGATTGGTACCAAACCTGCACATGAAAATCACTCCATGTGAAAGCAAAAGACTCGGCATGAGATGCAACATTTCCCCGATGAAAAGCAGGGGCACCACGAGTACGCTGAGAGACAACACAATAAGTGTCCAGGGCCCGTTGCCTCCCAGCATACATAAGGGGGATTACCAATAGACCCCTGGCTGTCTTCAAGAAGGCACTAGACAGGCACCTAAAGTCAGTACCTGACCAACCGGGCTGTGGTTTGTACGTCAGCTTGCATGTGGCCAGCAGTAACAGCCTGGTTGATCAGACCCTGATCCACCATGAGGCCCGGTCTCAGACTGGGCCACAGGGGCATTGACCCCTGAAACCCTCTCCAGGTAAACTGGCTTTGTTTCTTGTTGAGTGAACATTACCCTACGCATTCATATGAAACATTTCGTAATAAATCCATTTTTTTTTTTTGTGCTTGTTTATTGAGTGTGACTGCTAAATAAGCCACCATGGGGCCAAAGAAGGTTCCAAGTGCCAACCCTTTGATAAAGAAGGCGAGAAACACAATAGAATTGAATGGTGGTAGAGGGTGGTAGAGATAACCTCTCCTCTCTCTCCCCTCCTTGCCATCTTCCATTCACCAACAAGAGTCTTCAGTAAAGGTAAAAGTTATTTAAATGTTCATTTATCCATTTCATTAGTGCTTTATATTTATTTCTCATTGTTTTCTGTATGTAAAACTATAGATCTTCTCTATAAAATGTATTTTTTGTTAATATTTTTGTGTCTGGAATTGATTAATTGAATTTACATTATTTCTTATGGAAAATAAGTCTAGACTTAGCCCATTTTCACTCATGGGAAGCACTTCACAGCTTCTCTTAGGCTTTGAAGAATTGCCAGCATCACTACTTTTGCACTTTTGGGCCATTATTAAGCAAAACATAAGGGTTATTTTTGGGATACGGTAAACCGTAGATAACTAAAACCATGGAAACTGAATCATTGGATACAGCGGTTCTACTATATCTGATTTTCTGGTTTGTTGGGTTTCACACTTCCAAATCTTTTTATTTTGATGCTGTACTTTTTATTTAAGAATATCAGTATTAACCAGATTAGACTGATAAACCTGTAGTACAGAGGTATGGTCTAAAATCCAAAATGAATCCTAATGTAAAACAAAACATTTACTTAGGTTGAAATTTGTATTATTTGTTGACGTGTACTTGGCTCTGTGAAGACCTGTTTGCGCGCTCTCTAGAATTGAAGCAAGATGCCCTCCATCGAGCAACTTTACCAACAGCTTAAGGAAGAATTGAGGTTGGCGAATTTGGAAATTCGGCGATTGACCGAGGAGAACAAGAAGATTCGTAGTAGTCCTCCTGTTTTGAGTCCTCAGGTCAAGAAGGGAAACTGGTCAGTGGCTGGACAGCAGGGAAAGAAGTTGACGATCAAGAAGACGAATGGAAAGGTAGAAACGATGAAGAAGAAAGAGACTGCCGTGGAAACTGTTGTGGAAACATCCAATACATTCTCAGTGCTACCCGACGAATGTGAGTTGACTACTGGGAACGACACGACGAAAGACATTAAGGAAGGTAAGAATATTGTTGTTGTTGGGGATAGCCAAGTTAGGTATATGGATAGGGCGTTCTGCTTGAAGGACAGGAGTAGGAGACAGAGAGTTTGCTTTCCTGGGGCTGGGATGGAGGATATTGTTAGCCGTCTGGATGACATCATGAGAGGTAATGGGAGCAATCCTATTATCTGTCTCAGTGCTGGAGGCAACGATGTTGGCAGACGTAGGAGTGAGGACCTGATTAGCAGGTATAGGTCAGCAATAGAAATAATTAGAAGTAAGGGTGGGAACCCTCTCATATGTGGTATTTTGCCAAGGAGGGGAGTTGGAAGTGAATGGTTGTCCAGGGCAATTGGTGTCAATTGCTGGCTGGACAAATACTGTAAGGAAAATGCGGTAACATTCATTGACAACTGGGACCTCTTCTATGGCAGAAATGACATGTATGCTAGGGATGGGGTTCACTTATCTAGTGTGGGGTGGGAGCACTGGCAACTGCAGTGGAGGGAGCAGTTAGGACTTTAAACTAGGAATAGTTAGTGGTATGGGTTTTGGCAGGAAAACAGTGAAGTCCCAGTGTAGTAATATTACGAGTTTCTAGGGGAACTAGTAATAATAAGAACGAGATAGATATTGAAAAGCCAGGGACCTTGGGTGATAAAGACGGTAATAGTTAGTAGAAAAATAGAAATGAGCAGGAAGGGTAAAGAGAAAGGAGAGTCTTTCAATGTTTATTATGCTAATTGCCGTAGTGCTAGGAATAAGATGGACGAGTTGAGATTAGTTGCTAGTGTAGGTAACATTGATGTATTTGCCTTAACTGAGACGTGGTTTAATTCAAAAAGTCGGGACATGCCTGCGGAATGTCATATTCAGGGTTTTAAATTGTTCCAAGAAGATAGAAGTATTGGGAGGGGGGTTGGGGTGGCATTGTACGTCCGAGATCGCTTGAACTGTTGCATAAAAACGGGTATTAAGTCTGAAGTAACACATACAGAGTCTGTTTGGATAGAATTTTTCAGAGGGGCATGAAAAACTGATTTTAGGAGTGATATACCGTCCCCCTAACTTAGATAGGGACCAAGGGAAACTACTATGGGAGGAAATTGTTAAGGCCCACAAGGCACGATAATGTAGTAATTCTAGGAGACTTTAACTTTAGTCATGTTGATTGGAATTTCTTGACTGGGAATTTAGAATCGTACGACTTCTTAGAAGTATTTCAGGATTGTTTTTTGAAGCAGTTTGTGACAGAACCTACAAGGGGAAATAACCTGCTTGACTTAGTTATGGCAAACAATGAATCCCTTGTTAATAATTTAGAAATTTCAGAGGAACTGGGTGCTAGCGACCACAAATCAATTACATTTAGCATTGAATGGAAGTACGATAGTAGCGATAACTCAGTAACAGTCCCAGATTTTCGCTTAGCAGATTACGATGGGCTTAAAGAACACTTATCATCTGTTGACTGGGTAACGAAGAGAGCTATCAATATGACAGTTTTCTGAACACTATACATGCTGCTCAAAGAGCGTTTATCCCATATAAAGAAAATTAGATCAAATAGAAATGACCCAAAATGGATGAATAATAGGCTCAAATATCTACTAGGGCATAAGAAAGGAATTTATAGGCGTATCAAAAGAGGTGAGGGTCATCTTATGAATCAGTATATTGACATTAAGAGGGACATTAAAAAGGGGATAAGAAAAGCTAAAAGGGACTATGAAATTAAAGTTGCTAGGGATTCTAAAAACTAACCCAAAAAGTTTTTTTTCCAGGTCTATAGAACAAAAGTTAGAGATAAGATAGGTCCCCTTAAAAATAACTATGGGCACCTTACTGACAATGAGAATGAAATGTGCTTGATTTTAAAATAATTATTTTCTCTCAGTTTTTACACAGGAAGACACTAACAATATTCCAGTAATTAATTTTTACAGTGGGCTAGAAGAAGATAAATTATGTAACATCACAGTCACTAGTGAGATGGTTGTGAGGCAGATAGACAGACTGAAGCAAAATAAGTCGCCGGGTCCTGATGAGGTTTTTTCAAGGGTTCTTAAGGAATGCAAAATGGAACTCTGTGAACCATTAACTAATATTTTTAATTTATCTCTTCAAACAGGTGTAGTGTCTGATATGTGGAAGATGGCTAATGTAACTCCTATTTTTAAAACAGGGGACAAGTCGTTACCGTCAAATTACCGCCCAATAAGCCTGACCTCAATTGTAGGCAAATTACTAGAGTCAATTATAGCTGAGATTATAAGAAGCCATCTCGATAAGCATAGCTTGATTAATGATACTCAGCATGGATTCACAAGAGGCCGGTCTTGTCTAACTAATTTATTAACTTTCTTCAGTAAAGCTTTTGAGGCTGTTGACCACAATAAAGAATTTGATATTATTTACTTAGATTTTAGTAAGGCTTTTGATAGAGTTCCGCACCATAGACTGTTAAAGAAAGTGGCAGCCCATGGCATTGGGGGAAAAGTGCTCTCGTGGATCGAGTCATGGCTCACTGACAGGAAGCAGAGAGTGTCCATAAATGGGGTTAAATCCGAGTGGGGATCTGTAACAAGTGGCGTTCCACAGGGATCAGTCTTGGGCCCGTTGTTGTTTATAATATATATCAATGATCTTGATGAGGGAATTACTAGTGATATGAGCAAATTCGCCGATGACACAAAGATAGGTAGGATAATTGATTCAAACGTAGATGTTAGGGAACTTCAGGAGGATTTAAACAAACTCTATTCTTGGTCAGAAAAGTGGCAGATGCAGTTCAATGTAGATAAGTGCAAGGTTCTGAAGCTTGGGAGTGCCCATAACCCTAGTACTTATAAATTAAATGATGTAGAACTTAGCCATACAGATTGCGAAAAGGACTTGGGGGTTATGGTGAGCAGCAACCTTAAACCAAGACAGCAATGCCTAAGCGTACGTAATAAGGCAAATAGATTACTGGGATTTATATCAAGAAGTGTAAGCAACAGAAGTCCAGAGGTCATACTGCAGCTTTTATACATCAATTAGTAAGGCCTCACCTTGATTATGCAGCTCAGTTCTGGTCTCCGTATTACAAAATGGACATAAATTCGTTAGAAAACATTCAGCGTAGGATGACTAAATTAATACATAGCATCAGAAATCTTCCTTATGAAGAAAGATTGAAGACTCTTAAGTTACATTCACTTGTTAGAGACAAGAATGAGGGGAGACCTGATCGAAGTGTATAAGTGGAAGATAGGTATTATAAAGGGGATATTAATAAGGTCTTGAGGATGTCTCTCCAAGAGAGAACCCGCAGTAATGGATTTAAATTAGATAAGTTTAGATTTAGAAAGGACATAGGAAAGTATTGGTTTGGAAATAGGGTAGTTGATGAGTGGAACAGTCTACCTAGTTGGGTTATTGAGGCTAGGACTTTGGGTAGTTTCAAATCTAGGTTGGATAAGTACATGAGTGGGAAGGGTTGGATTTGAGTGGGACTTTCACATCAGAGCTTATTTCTTGGGTAGCATTGAAAATCGGGTTGGGTAAATGTTTTGTTAGTGGGATGAATTGTAAAGGACCTGCCTAGTATGGGCCAGCAGGCCTCCTGCAGTGTTCCTCCTTTCTTATGTTCTTATGTTCTTATGTACTGTTTCTAGTTTTGTTGTACCTCTAGAAATGTAACCCCAGTCCTTCCTTGCACAGGTTTGTAGGGGAAAATGTGTTTTACACCTTCCTTTGAATGGTGGAAAAGTTGTACAATGATGAGATCGTATTAAAATGCCTCTCCAACTACTCATTTCAGACAATGAAGGAGCTGGATCGTGAAATTGAGGACCACTACACGCTACTGATCAAGGCCACAGAGGACTGCCTCACGTTACCTGAGCCTGTTGCCTTCTTCGACCCCCGAGATGACACACTTTTAAAAGTTTATGTGTTTGTTAATGACATCAATGACAATGCTCCAAAGTTCACCCGTGAAGTATTTACTGGAGGCATAACAACTGCATCACACTTTGGCCTCGAAGTCATGAGATTAACGGTAATTTTTATTTAAAGTTTAATACTGCTTATACTATACATCCATGTTCTTTTCTGTCATGTGAGAGACCATAGTTATATTATAAGCTGGTCCTCTCCCAAAACCATCTACTAGTCTTCACAAATGTTGTTTTGTAGAATTTCTATTTATACACAACATGAATATTAGTTTTGGTTATATTTTTGATGATGCTTTCCTATAGAAGCAGGTCCTGGACTGTGGAACATACAGAAGTGTCTGCAAGTTCATTTCCCAGAATGCCAGAATGACTAGGGAACTAACAAAAGATGACATTTTTGTTTGCTGGAGAGGTGACATGGCCGGTGTTAGATGTGAAGAATAATGGAATGCGAGGAGTCAAAGCTCTGAAGAGCTTGCAATGTACTTTGAATCAGCTAAGAAGGAAGAAAAGCAGTTTAAATGATGGCTGCAAGTTCATGGTAGTAGCATGTGCATGTACAGCAAATAAAAATGAACAGGGAAGAGGGCATGCATATCCATAACAGTGATAAGAGACTTTGGAAAGGGAAGGGAGGGATTTACATTACAGTACTTGAATTATCAGTACTTCTGAAGGTGGAATAGAAAAGTTGACTGAACAGGATGAAAAGAAACAGAGATAGATTGAGAAAAGTGACCAGAGTTTAAGGATGAAGATCAAAGGATGTAATAAAGGGTAAGGATTGAAAGTACCAGCTTCACTTATTAGTGTGATTATTATATAGGTCATAGGGTAATGAAAGTAAACAAGGGAGCATACAGTGACTATCTTGTTGGTCTTATCATTAAGAAACATAAAACTATACATATAGGCTTTCAACTGAGATGAGTGAAAAGCACTAAGACAGTCTTGATAGAGATCATGAAGCTTGGAGAGAATAGCTGTTGCATCAGATGAATACACCTAATTTCCATAATCGAGTTTAGATAAAATCAATGTCATACGAGGGCTAAGAAGAGAAATCTTGGACCCCTAGGTAAAGCATAACAAAATTTTAAGTAAATTCAATCTAAGTAACACCTAGCATGCAGTATATGTTAGGAAAGTAGCTGGCACTGGGATTAGGCTGTGGGGGTGGTGTCCCCTGGAATTGACAAGAGGTAACTGAGTATCACATATAATATCCATGACATTCTTCAGTCAAAATGGAGACCCAGAAATTTGTTTGGCAGAAAGGGAGAGTATGAAACATGGAATAACAGGTAACCAAGAAAATATAATTTAGTTTTAGATACTGAGAACTTGAAGTCATGTGATGTGCTGTCTGTAAGGTGGTAGAAATTTACTGAATATCTATCTGCACAAGCAATGGCAAAATAATCTATATGTAAAACAGACCAAATTCTCTAAACTAGGATATTAATAGCTAATAAAAATAGTTGTGCTAAGAGCTCTTCCCTGTGGAATGAGTTTTGCTTTAACAAAGTCTGAAGAGAAATGGTTATTATTCAGACATGAAAGTGTCAGTCTGTTTCAAAGGCCTTCAGAAAAAGTGGGATTTAGCTTCATAAGATAAAAGAATGGACCTGAGGTAAGATGTATCCACATCATATTTAGGTTGGTAGACAGCAACCACCCAGGGAGGTACTACCGTCCTGCCAAGTGAGTGTAAAACAAAAGCCTGTAATTGTTTTACATGATGGTAGGATTGCTGGTGTCTTTTGTCTCTCATAAATATGCAAGATTACAGGTATGTCTTGCTACTTCTACTTACACTTAGGTCACACTACACATACATGTACACATTTATTTATACACACTCATCTGAGTTTTCTTTGATTTTATCTTAATAGTTCTTGGTCTTACTACTTTTCCTTTTATATCCATGGGGAAGTAGAATAAGAATCTTCCCTCCGTAAGCCATGCGTGTTGTAAAAGTCAACTAAAATGCCGGGAACAATGGGCTAGTAACCCCTTTTCCTGTCAAGATTACTAAAAAGAATAAGAAGAAAATTGTCAAAGTGGGAAGTCTAAATGTGCGTGGATGTTGTGCAAATGATAAGAAAGAGATGATTGTGGATGTTATGAATGAGAAGAAGCTGGATGTCCTGGCTTTAAGTGAAACAAAGCTGAAAGGAGTGGGAGAGTTTAAGTGGAGAGGAATAAATGGGATTAGGTCAGGGGTTTCAAATAGAGTTAGAGCTAAAGAAGGAGTAGCAATGATGTTGAAGGATAAGATATGGCAGGAAAAGAGGGACTATAAATGTATTAATTCAAGGATTATGTGGAGTAAAATAAAGGTTGGATGTGAAAAGTGGGTTATAGTAAGCATATATGCACCTGGAGAAGAGAGAAGTGCAGAGGAGAGAGAGAGATTTGGGGAAATGTTGAGTGAATGCATGGGGAGTTTTGAACCAAGTGTGAGAGTACTTGTGGTTGGGGATTTCAATGCTAAAGTGGGTAAAAATGTTGTGGAGGGAGTAGTAGGTAAATTTGGGGTGCCAGGGGTAAATGTAAATGGGGAGCCTTTAATTGAGCTATGTGTAGAAAGAGATTTGGTAATAAGTAATACATAGTTTATGAAAAAGGGGATAAATAAATATACAAGGTATGATGTAGCATGTAATGAAAGTAGTTTGTTAGATTATGTATTGGTGGATAAAAGGTTAATGGGTAGGCTCCAGGATGTACACGTTTATAGAGGGGGCAACTGATATATCGGATCATTATTTAGTTGTAGCTATAGTTAGAGTAAGAGGTAGATAGGACAAGAGGAAGGTGGCAACAACAAGTAGGAGGGAAGTGAAAGTGTATAAACTAAAGGAGGAGGAAGTCCGGGTGAGATATAAGCGACTATTGGCAGAAAGGTGGGCTAGTGCAAAGATGAGTAGTGGGAGGGATTGAAGAGGGTTAGATGAGTTTTAAAAATGCAGTATTAGAATGTGGGGCAGAAGTTTGTGGTTATAGGAGGGTGGGGGCAGGAGGAAAGATGAGTGATTATTGGAATGAGGAAGTAAAGGGTGTGATAAAAGAGAAAAAATTAGCTTATGAGAGGTTTTTACAAAGCAGAAGTGTTATAAGAAGAGCAGAGTATATGGAGAGTAAAAGAAAGGTGAAGAGAGTGGTGAGAGAGTGCAAAAGGAGAGCAGATGATAGAGTGGGAGAGGCATTGTCAAGAAATTTTAATGAAAATAAGAAAAAATTTTGGAGCGAGTTAAACAAGTTAAGAAAGCCTAAGAATGTATGGATTTGTCATTTAAAAACAGAGTAGCAGAGTAGGGGAGTTAGTAGATGGGGAGAGGGAGGTATTAGAATGATGGCGAGAATATTTTGAGGAACTTTTAAATGTTGAGGAAGAAAGAGGGGCGGTAATTTCATGCACTGGCCAGGGAGGTATACCATCTTATAGGAGTGAAGAAGAGCAGAATGTAATTGTGGGGGAGGTACGTGAGGCATTACGTAGAATGAAAGGGGGTAAAGCAGTTGGAACTGATGGGATCATGACAGAAATGTTAAAAGCAGGGGGGGATATAGTGTTGGAGTGGTTGGTACTTTTGTTTAATAAAAGTATGAAAGAGGGGAAGGTACCTAGGGACTGGCATGTATAGTCCCTTTATATAAAGGGAAGGGGGACAAAAGAGATTGTAAAAATTATAGAGGAATAAGTTTACTGAGTATACCAGGAAAAGTGTATGGTAGGGTTATCATTGAAAGAATTAGAGGTAAGACAGAATATAGGATTGCGGATGAGCAAGGAGGTTTCAGAGTGGGTAGGGGATGTGTAGATCAAGTGTTTACATTGAAGCATATATGTGAACAGTATTTAGATAAAGGTAGGGAAGTTTTTATTGCATTTATGGATTAGAAAAGGCATATGATAGTGGATAGGGGAACAATGTGGCAGATGTTGCAAGTGTATGGAATAGGTGGTAAGTTACTAAATGCTGTAAAGAGTTTTTATGAGGATAGTGAGGCTCAGGTTAGGATGTGTAGAGGAGAGGGAGACTACTTCCCGGTAAAAGTAGGTCTTAGACAGGGATGTGTAATGTCACCATGGTTGTTTAATATTTTTATAGATGGAGTTGTAAAAGAAGTAAATGCTAGGGTGTTGGGGAGAGGGGTGGGATTAAATTATGGGGAATCAAATACAAAATGGGAATTGATACAGTTACTTTTTGCTGATGATACTGTGCTTATGGGAGATTCTAAAGAAAAATTGCATAGTGGATGAGTTTGGGAGTGTGCGTAAAGGTAGAAAGTTGAAAGTGAACATAGAAAAGAGTAAGGTGATGAGGGTATCAAATGATTTAGATAAAGAAAAAATGGATATCAAATTGGGGAGGAGGAGTATGGAACAAGTAAATGTTTTCATATATTTGGGAGTTGACGTGTCGGCGGATGGATTTATGAAGGATGAGGTTAATCATAGAATTGATGAGGGGAAAAAAGGTGAGTGGTGCATTGAGGTATATGTGAAGTCAAAAAACATTATCTCTGGAGGCAAAGAAGGGAATGTATGAAAGTATAGTAGTACCAACACTCTTATATGGGTATGAAGCTTGGGTTGTGAATGCAGCAGCAAGGAGGCGGTTGGAGGCAGTGGAGATGTCCTGTCTAAGGGCAGTGTGTGGCGTAAATATTATGCAGAAAATTCGGAGTGTGGAATTTAGGAGAAGGTGTGGAGTTAATAAAGGTATTAGCCAGAGGGCTGAAGAGGGGTTGTTGAGGTGGTTTGGTCATTTAGAGAGAATGGATCAAAGTAGAATGACATGGAGAGCATTTAAATCTGTAGAAGAAGGAAGGCGGGGTAGGGGTAATCCTTGAAAAGGTTGGAAGGAAGGGGTGAGGGAGGTTTTGTGGGCAAGGGGCTTGGACATCCAGCAGGCATGCATGAGCTTGTTCGATAGTGAATGGAGACGAATGGTATTTGGGACCTGACGATCTGTTGGAGTGTGAGCAGGGTAATATTTAGTGAAGGGATTCAGGGAAACCGGTTATTTTTATATAGCCGGACTTGAGTCCTGGAAATGGGAAGTACAATGCCTGCACTCTAAAGGAGGGGTTCGAGATATTAGTGGTTTGGAGGGATATGTTGTGTATCTTTATACGTATATGCTTCTAAACTGTTGTGTTCTGAGCACCTCTGCAAAAATAGTGATTATGTGTGAGTGAGGTGAAAGTGTTGAATGATGATGAAAGTATTTTCTTTTTGGGGATTTTCTTTCTTTTTGGGTCACCCTGCCTTGGTGGGAGACGGCCGACTTGTTGAAAAAAAAAAATTAATCGAAAAACACTGCCACCACAAACCAGTTTTTGGCAAAGGCACTTTATATACGTATATATAACAAGGCACATTAGAGGGTCAATAAATAGTAGAATGGCTCCTTCTATATAGAAGCTGATGTGGGGATATACAATTGTGTGTCTTCAAGTACCATACTAGTTTATGGTTAACCATTAATATGCAAATCGAAGTATGGATCTATAATGGGAGGCACTGCAGCTGGACATACCTAGTTTCAAAGAGGAAGGACCATAGCAGACTTCCAATGTATTTGTACCACTCCTGTAGACCAAACATGGTTCAAGAGGGATAATAAACCTCATGCTGAAGAGTGTAAATGTTGAAGCATGAGAATATGCTTCAGTAATACTATATGCTCAGTTATAGTGTATGAGAAAATATACCTTAACAATATAATGAATCCTTTTATTTTTTAAATACAAGTTGACATCTGAACTGTGATGTCAGCCTGCCTCTGGCAAGATGATGAAATAAATGAATAATGGTAAAAGTGTTTTCTCTTTTTTTTTTTTTTTTTTTTTTTTTTGGTCACCCTGCCATGGTGGGAGACAGCCGGTGTACCTCTGCAACCCCCCCCCCATGCAAAAGTATATTCTTTTATGTATGATATGCTTAACAAGTCCTGGTCACATCCACAGTGACATGCAGGGGAAATCCATCCAGTTATCATGTTTTCATCACTAAATTAATCCTCAAACTGCATCATAAGATTACAAGGGCATTTGAATTTAGTCCACCTGTATAGAAATATGTTTTTCCTCTTACTGTATATGAATAACAGAAAAAAACTGTACTGTAGTGGTCATCTTTTATTACAGTATTTTCTTCCCAAAATAAATATATAATTTTTTCAGGCTGTTGATCCAGACGCAAAAGAAAACAGCCGTTTGAGGTACTACATGGATGGCAGTGTACAAGAGACCCTTTCAGAAAACCTGGATAATGTCCGCAGATCTCCATTCATTGTTGATCCTGTTTCTGGAATTGTGAAATTAAATTTTGATCCTCAGAAGGGAATGAAAGGATATTTTGATTTTAAGGTAATAGAAAAATCTTATTTTATTTTTTAAACTCTATTTGTATTCTTGTAGTATAAAGGTTGTTGGGAAACCTCCATTGAGAACTTTACCAGAACCCAAGGACATCATACAGAAAAAAAACTACCACTGATATTCCACGCATTTAGCTTAATGTGTTAAATTAAGAAGCTTGGCAAATAAAAGGATTTAAAATACAGAATATCCTTCCCAAAGAAACAAAAAGCAATATAATGCTAGAGCTAATTATACACTTATAATTAAAGTGAAGAAGAGATTCTCTTTAACAAATGATATAAAATTTTAAATAAATTTTAATCTGTATGTTATCATATTGCTATACTGTGTAACCTGGGTTGAACATTTCCCTATACGTAAATATAATATTTATAACACATCTGTACTTACTTTTTAAACCCATTTCATGTCTTGCCTTAAATTTAGCTAAGTACCATATGTAAGGCATTCCCAGGTACGTATTGACTCCAGCACCAGCACCTCATCACCTGCAATTTGGCCATAAGGCCAAATTGCAGGTTCCCTGATGCCATCTACTTCATACGAGCCAGATGAAATGGAGTTTTATAATATCAGATGAATGATAAATTACTAATCTACACAATAATATGTGACTATATTACTCATTTGAGGGGCTTGGACTTCCAGCAAGCGTGCATGAGCGTGTTAGATAGGAGTGAATGGAGACGAATGATACTTGGGACCTGACGATCTATTGGAGTGTGAGCAGGGTAATATTTAGTGAAGGGATTCAGGGAAACCGGTTATTTTCATATAGTCGGACTTGAGTCCTGGAAATGGGAAGTACAATGCCTGCACTTTAAAGGAGGGGTTTGGGATATTGGCAGTTTGGAGGGATATGTTGTGTATCTCTATACGTATATGGTTCTAAACTGTTGTATTCTGAGCACCTCTGCAAAAGCAGTGATAATGTGTGAGTGTGGTGAAAGTGTTGAATGATGATGAAAGTATTTTCTTTTTGGGGATTTTCTTTCTTTTTTTTTTTGGGTCACCCTGCCTCGGTGGGAGACGACCGACTTGTTGAAAAAAAAAAAAAAAAAAAATTACTCATACATCTCTTGGAAAAGTTGACATGAAAAACATATTCATCTGAAAAATTAATGAACTTCATTGACAAATTATTACTATTATTTTTATTATTTATTCATGGGAAGGCTCTAAACCCATAGGGGTCATAGTGGTTATGAATGGGAGATCAGATTTGATAAAAAAGAAGAAAAGGATGACTACAATCCCTTGGATAAAGTGCCCTTCAGTATAGAGGCATCTGTTCTGAAGGGTTCATCAACTAATAATTTAGTCAAGCTGATATTAGGTATGGGATAAATATGTCATATGCAGTGTTGAATTCTGTTTAATAATATAAGGTATCACCTCTGTATACTTCATTGGTTTCAGGTATATGTTAATGACTCGAGTGGATGGAGTGATCGAGCCCGAGTGTTCATCTACTTACTTCGGGAGGACCAAAGAGTTCGGTTTATCCTTAGGCAGTCACCTGATGAGGCAAGAGTGTTTCCTTCATTCCTATTGAAAATGAAAAATTAAAGTAAATACATATGCAGGAATAATGTGTAATCAGCGAACATTCATCAGAGACTCTGTTCTTCCTTTCCGTTTTTGTGATGTACAGTCTACAGTTATAGATGAGACAAACTTGTAAATGAATAAGCACAAATAATAACTGAAAGTATTTTCATTAAGCATGTCATTGTGGGTGCTTTGATATTCATTGTAAAGAAAAATATCTCTTTAATTTTTATCTTCTGTCCTTTGAGAAATTAGGTCTCTTCCAAGGATAAAGAGGTATTTAGTACAGGGATTTCATTAAGTTAATATCTTTTGCCCTAAAATTTTTAAAATATCAAAACAATTTACTCAGGGTTTTGCATAAAATCCTTCATTTGGTATAATGGTTTGGAATTTGCACAATTCATAAATTTTAAAGAGCACCTATCAGACAGCAAAAACCTAAATTTGTAGCAGGAATCGGCACACTTCAGCGCCTTAACTTTATTCATCATAATGAAATGTACTTGTTTATCATTATATTCTAGCTTTCTGTCATGTGTTTTAATTTTTTGTTCATGGATACAGCAATACTGTGCAAAATATAAGCAAATAGGTTTTAAAATGTGAAGCATGTTACAGATTGACACCAAGGATAAAATAAAATTACTGTTATTTCTATATTACATATTCTTCAAATATTCCTTGCATGTTTTATTGTGACCAGGAGACTCAGGATTGTATTTGTGTTAGATCTTGTACACGTAGTTTTTGTTGCCATACAAAAATTTGTGTTGATGAATTAGATAATCAGACTAAAATTGATTCTTAAGTACTGATGAATGACATGATGTTACTGTTTATATTAGTATTTCACTGATGAAACGTTATTTGTAGGTACGAGAACAAGTAGAGTACTTTCGTGACTACCTTGGGAATATCACAGGAGCTATTGTGAATGTGGATGATTTTCGAGTGCATGAAAATCATGATGGAACTGTTGATAAGACAAAAACAGATTTGTACCTGCACCTGGTGGATCGTAATGATAACTCTGTTCTAGAAGTGAAGCAAGTGTTGGCCATGATTGACAAAAATGTTGAGTACCTGGACAATCTCTTTAAGGTAAGGATCTACAAATGCCAGTAGTTTTTTTTTTTTAAATTGTTTAGTATTATAGTAATTATTAATAAATAGCACAAAAATAACTTTAATCACACTTTTTCACCTTTCTTTAAAGAAACTTTTTTTTTATGCATACCTGACCCTTTTATGACATGGCTCTTGCAGCATTATTTTGCTCCTGTACTTTTTATAATGTCTTTATTGGGATACATTTTTTCTCGCATGAAATTTACATAAATGTGTATTAGGTAGTAGGTTGGTAGACAGCAACTGCCCAGGGAGGTACTACCATCCTGCCAAGTGAGTATAAAACAGAAACCTGTAATTGTTTTACATGATGGTAGGATTGCTGGTGTCCTTTTTTCTGTCTCATGAACATGCAAGATTTCAGGTACGTCTTGCTACTTCTACTTACACTTAGGTCACACTACACATACATGTACAAGCACATATATACACACCCCTCTGGGTTTTCTTCTATTTTCTTTCTAGTTCTTATTCTTGTTTATTTCCTCTTATCTCCATGGGGAAGTGGAACAGAATTCTTCCTCCGTAAGCCATGCGTGTTGTAAGAGGCGACTAAAATGCCGGGAGCAAGGGGCTAGTAACCTCTTCTCCTGTATATATTACTAAATGTAAAAGGAGAAACTTTCGTTTTTCCTTTTGGGCCACCCCGCCTCGGTGGGATACGGCTGGTGTGTTGAAAGAAAGAAGAAACATGCAAGATTTCAGGTATGTCTTGCTACTTCTTACACTTAGGTCACACTACACATACATGTATACAAGCATATATATATATATATATATATATATATATATATATATATATATATATATATATATAGGTAGTAGGTTGGTAGACAGCAACCACCCAGGGAAGTACTACCGTCCTGCCAGATGACTGTGAAACAAAAACCTGTAACTGTTTTGCATGATGGTAGGATTGCTGGTTTCTTTTTCTGTCTCATAAACACGCTAAGATAACAGGGATATCTTGCTACTCCTACTTACACTTTGGTCACACTTCACAGACACGCACATGCATATATATATATACATACATCTAGGTTTTTCTCCTTTTTCTAAATAGCTCTTGTTCTTTTTTATTTCTTCTATTGTCCATGGGGAAGTGGAAAAGAATCTTTCCTCCGTAAGCCATGCGTGTCGTATGAGCCGACTAAAATGCCGGGAGCAATGGGCTAGTAACCCCTTCTCCTGTATACAATTACTAAAAAAGAGAAGAAGAAAAACTTTATAAAACTGGGTTGCTTAAATGTGCGTGGATGTAGTGCGGATGACAAGAAACAGATGATTGCTGATGTTATGAATGAAAAGAAGTTGGATGTCCTGGCCCTAAGCGAAACAAAGCTGAAGGGGGTAGGAGAGTTTCAGTGGGGGGAAATAAATGGGATTAAATCTGGAGTATCTGAGAGAGTTTAGAGCAAAGGAAGGGGTAGCAGTAATGTTAAATGATCAGTTATGGAAGGAGAAAAGAGAATATGAATGTGTAAATTCAAGAATTATGTGGATTAAAGTAAAGGTTGGATGCGAGAAGTGGGTCATAATAAGCGTGTATGCACCTGGAGAAGAGAGGAATGCAGAGGAGAGAGAGAGATTTTGGGAGATGTTAAGTGAATGTATAGGAGCCTTTGAACCAAGTGAGAGAGTAATTGTGGTAGGGGACTTGAATGCTAAAGTAGGAGAAACTTTTAGAGAGGGTGTGGTAGGTAAGTTTGGGGTGCCAGGTGTAAATGATAATGGGAGCCCTTTGATTGAACTTTGTATAGAAAGGGGTTTAGTTATAGGTAATACATATTTTAAGAAAAAGAGGATAAATAAGTATACACGATATGATGTAGGGCGAAATGACAGTAGTTTGTTGGATTATGTATTGGTAGATAAAAGACTGTTGAGTAGACTTCAGGATGTACATGTTTATAGAGGGGCCACAGATATATCAGATCACTTTCTAGTTGTAGCTACACTGAGAGTAAAAGGTAGATGGGATACAAGGAGAATAGAAGCATCAGGGAAGAGAGAGGTGAAGGTTTATAAACTAAAAGAGGAGGCAGTTAGGGTAAGATATAAACAGCTATTGGAGGATAGATGGGCTAATGAGAGCATAGGCAATGGGGTCGAAGAGGTATGGGGTAGGTTTAAAAATGTAGTGTTAGAGTGTTCAGCAGAAGTTTGTGGTTACAGGAAAGTGGGTGCAGGAGGGAAGAGGAGCGATTGGTGGAATGATGATGTAAAGAGAGTAGTAAGGAGAAAAAGTTAGCATATGAGAAGTTTTTACAAAGTAGAAGTGATGCAAGGAGGGAAGAGTATATGGAGAAAAGAGAGAGGTTAAGAGAGTGGTGAAGCAATGTAAAAAGAGAGCAAATGAGAGAGTGGGTGAGATGTTATCAACAAATTTTGTTGAAAATAAGAAAAAGTTTTGGAGTGAGATTAACAAGTTAAGAAAGCCTAGAGAACAAATTGATTTGTCAGTTAAAAATAGGAGAGGAGAGTTATTAAATGGAGAGTTAGAGGTATTGGGAAGATGGAAGGAATATTTTGAGGAATTGTTAAATGTTGATGAAGATAGGGAAGCTGTGATTTCGTGTATAGGGCAAGGAGGAATAACATCTTGTAGGAGTGAGGAAGAGCCAGTTGTGAGTGTGGGGAAGTTCGTGAGGCAGTAGGTAAAATGAAAGGGGGTAAGGCAGCCGGGATTGATGGGATAAAGATAGAAATGTTAAAAGCAGGTGGGGATATAGTTTTGGAGTGGTTGGTGCAATTATTTAATAAATGTATGGAAGAGGGTAAGGTACCTAGGGATTGGCAGAGAGCATGCATAGTTCCTTTGTATAAAGGCAAAGGGGATAAAAGAGAGTGCAAAAATTATAGGGGGATAAGTCTGTTGAGTGTACCTGGTAAAGTGTATGTAGAGTTATAATTGAAAGAATTAAGAGTAAGACGGAGAATAGGATAGCAGATGAACAAGGAGGCTTTAGGGAAAAGGTAGGGGGTGTGTGGACCAGGTGTTTACAGTGAAACATATAAGTGAACAGTATTTAGATAAGGCTAAAGAGGTCTTTGTGGCATTTATGGATTTGGAAAAGGCGTATGACAGGGTGGATAGGGGGGCAATGTGGCAGATGTTGCAAGTGTATGGTGTAGGAGGTAGGTTACTGAAAGCAGTGAAGAGTTTTTACGAGGATAGTGAGGCTCAAGTTAGAGTATGTAGGAAAGAGGGAAATTTTTTCCCAGTAAAAGTAGGCCTTAGACAAGGATGTGTGATGTCACCGTGGTTGTTTAATATATTTATAGATGGGGTTGTAAGAGAAGTAAATGCGAGGGTCTTGGCAAGAGGCGTGGAGTTAAAAGATAAAGAATCACACACAAAGTGGGAGTTGTCACAGCTGCTCTTTGCTGATGACACTGTGCTCTTGGGAGATTCTGAAGAGAAGTTGCAGAGATTGGTGGATGAATTTGGTAGGGTGTGCAAAAGAAGAAAATTAAAGGTGAATACAGGAAAGAGTAAGGTTATGAGGATAACAAAAAGATTAGGTGATGAAAGATTGAATATCAGATTGGAGGGAGAGAGTATGGAGGAGGTGAACGTATTCAGATATTTGGGAGTGGACGTGTCAGCGGATGGGTCTATGAAAGATGAGGTGAATCATAGAATTGATGAGGGAAAAAGAGTGAGTGGTGCACTTAGGAGTCTGTGGAGACAAAGAACTTTGTCCTTGGAGGCAAAGAGGGGAATGTATGAGAGTATAGTTTTACCAACGCTCTTATATGGGTGTGAAGCGTGGGTGATGAATGTTGCAGCGAGGAGAAGGCTGGAGGCAGTGGAGATGTCATGTCTGAGGGCAATGTGTGGGTGTGAATATAATGCAGAGAATTAGTAGTTTGGAAGTTAGGAGGAGGTGCGGGATTACCAAAACTGTTGTCCAGAGGGCTGAGGAAGGGTTGTTGAGGTGGTTCGGACATGTAGAGAGAATGGAGCGAAACAGAATGACTTCAAGAGTGTATCAGTCTGTAGTGGAAGGAAGGCGGGTAGGGGTCGGCCTAGGAAGGGTTGGAGGGAGGGGGTAAAGGAGGTTTTGTGTGCGAGGGCTTGGACTTCCAGCAGGCATGCGTGAGCGTGTTTGATAGGAGTGAAGGAGAAAAAATGGTTTTTAATACTTGACGTGCTTTTGGAGTGTGAGCAAATAACTTTTAAAAGGGATTCAGGGAAAACCGGGGGCGGACTTGAGTTGGGGATGGGGGTACAGTGCCGACTCTGAAAAGGGGGGGTGTTAATGTTGCAGTTTTAAAAATGAAATGTAAAGCACCCTTCTGGCAAGACGTGAGGATGAAGATGGTGAAAGTTTTTTTTTTCGGGGGCCCCCTGCCTTGGTGGGAATCCCGGTTATAAAAAAAAAAAAAAAAAAAATATATATAAATATAATATATATATATATATTATATAATAAATAAATAAATATAATATATATAAATATATTATAATAATATATATATATATAATACACACACACCTCTCTTGGTTTTTTTTCAATTTTTTTTCTATGGGGTTGTTCTTGTTTTTATTTCCTTTTCTCCAGGGAAGGGGAACAGAATTCTTTCCCCCTTAAGCATGCGTGTTGTAAGAGGGGGACAAAAGCCAGGACAAGGGGGAGTAACCCCTTTTCCCGTCAAAATTTCTAAATTTAAAAGAAAAACTTTTTTTTTCTTTTTGGGGCCCCCCTGCCCTTTGGGAGGAACCCCGGTTTTTTGAAAGAAAAAAGTGTATTAATGAGATGATTGGGAATAATGATTCAGGAAAGGGGGTTGGAATTATCCTAGTAGTATTTGTACTAAATTGGGCTACATAGTATAAAATTAAAGTTACATACTTTTTCAAAATGCATCCATGTTATTGAGGGTCAGGTATGTCTTTAAAATTAAAGTAAGTGGACCCCCGCATAACGATATTGTCCTTCCTGAAGCCATTGTTTTGCGAAATTATCGTTATGCGAATGAATTTTCCCCATAAGAAATAATGGAAATCAAATTAATCCGTGCAAGACACCCAAAAGTATGAAAAAAACAAATTTTACCACATAAAATATACATTTTCCTACACACAAAGAGAAGGATACATGCACAATAGTAGAGTAGTACATGCACAATATATATTGTGCATGTACTACTCTACTAAATGAAGAATAAATGACACTTACCTTTATTGAAGATGCAGCAATGACTGAAGAGACACTGTGTCCTGGGAACAGGCCTTATTACACTGTGTATGCCACTACGATTCTTAAATCTCTCAAACCAACCTTTGCTGGCTTTAAATTCACCAATATGAGCACTAGTTCCAGGCATTTTTCCCTGTTCACCTGGGTGTTAGTCGACTGGTGTGGGTTGCATCCTGGGAGACAAGATTAAGGACCCCAATGGAAATAAGTTAGACAGTCTTCGATGACACTGACTTTTTTGGGTTATCCTGGGTGGCTAACCCTCTGGGGTTAATTGTTTCTTGGTATTCTCAATAAGCCATACCAACAACGGTGCTACAGCAGCAGCAGCAGCAGCTGCAGCAGCTGACAGTGCTACAGCAGCAGCAGCAGCAGCTGACAGTGCTACAGCAGCAGCAGACGGTGCTACAGCAGCAGCAGATGGTACTACAGCAGCAGCAGCAGCTGACGGTGCTACAGCAGCAGCAGCATCAGCAGTTGACCATGGTACCACAGTATTTCAATAATATTTCTCACCCTTTTTACCACAGGGTTGGCACTAGAAGCTTTCTTGGGGCCCATGGTCACTTATTTTGCAGATAAAATCACCAAAAACGCTGTAATAATACGAAATGTTCCGATTGTATGCTTGGATGTTACCACGGAGGCTAGCTTGTAAACAGTGCCACCGGCGGAACATGTGAGGCTGGCTCAGGCCTCACATAGACGCGTCTCGGACGAATAGCGTTGAATGGGTTTTTTAGCGGTATGCGAGGCAAAATCTTAGCGATAAAATGTATTGGTATGCGGATTTAACGTTATGTGATGCCAACGGTATGTGGGGGTCCACTGTATTTAATTGTTTACACTATAATTGTCTTAGCCCTACTAATAAAAAGAATCCCAACCATAATTTAAATCAAGAACTGGCATGTTAAAACAAAGAACATGGCAACCTTGAAATTGGATAGCCATTGATATGATTGCAGTATGCTGTATGAGTAGAGTATTTTACTGTTATGTTCACTTCCTTGAAGGCTGGCATTCTTTATGATTATAATTCTTTAAGTAATTTGCTCACCTCTTAGAATTTCTGTTTCCACTAGCCTTCTGTATTTCAAATGTATTATGAAATTTATTAAAGTCTTTGTTTAAGAATGGGATAGTAAAGTGTATTAAAAATACTTTTAAATTTATTTGAAGTACACTACACAGTTGCATTTATTTTCTTCAATGCTGTCCATTTATTATTTTTTTTTTTTAACACTTCAGCTGTCTCCCACCAATCCAGGGTGACCCAAAAAGGAAAGAAACACTTTCACCATTATTCACCCATAATCACTATCTTTGCAGTGGTTCCCAGATATGACAGTTTAGATGTCAACCCAAACAGCCAGTATCTCAAACCCCTCCTTTAAAGTGCAGGCATTGTACTTCCTACCTCCAGGACTCAAGTCTGGCTAACTGGTTCCCTGAGTCCTTTCACAAAATATTACCCTGCTCACACTCAAACAGCTCGTCAGGTCCCAAAAACCATTCATTTCCATTCACTCCTATCTAACACGCTCACACATGCTTGCTGCATGTCCAGGCAATAATCATTGATTTGTTCTTCAGTGTTACCTTTAACTTATGCACTTGCTTAACTGAGTGCTTATGACGCTACAATCATTGATTTAATACGAGTACAGTGGAACCTCGGTTTTCGTATGCCCTAGCTTGTGCATAAAACTATAGTTATTCTCTATAAAATGTATTTTTTCTTAATATTTCCCATAAGAAATAATGTAAATCCAATTAACCTGTTCCAGACACCCAAAGATATTAACAAAAAATACGTTGTATAGAGAATAACTATAGTTTTTGGGACCTAACAAACTGTTGGAGTGTGAGCAGGGTAATATTTAGTGAAGGGATTCAGGGAAACCAGTTATTTTTATATAGCTGGACTTGAGTACTGGAAATGGAAAGTACAATGTCTGTACTTTAAAGGAGGGGTTTGGGATATTGGCAGTTTGGAAGGGCTACGTTATATATCTTTATATATGCTTCTATACTGTTGCATATGGGCACCTCTGCAAAGACAGTAATTATTTGTGAGTGAGGTGAAAGTGTTGAATGATGAAAGTATTTTCTTTTTGGGGACTTTTTCTTTTTGGGTCACCCTGCCTCAGTGGGAGATGGCCGACTTGTTGAAAAAAAATATATATAGTTTTACATACAAACTAGGGCATACAAAAACCGTGGTTCCACTGCATTGAGAAAGTATGTATAGTATAGTAGTACCAACACTCTTATATGGGTGTGAAGCTTGGGTTGTGAATGCAGCAGCGAGGAGACGGTTGGAGGCAGTGGAGATGTCCTGTCTAAGGGCAATATGTGGTGTAAATATTATGCAGAAAATTCGGAGTGTGGAAATTAGGAGAAGGTGTGGAGTTAATAAAAGTATTAGCCAGAGGGCTGAAGAGGGGTTGTTGAGGTGGTTTGGTCATTTAGAGAGAATGGATCAAAGTAGAATGACATGGAGAGCATTTAAATCTGTAGAAGGAAGGCGGGGTAGGGGTCGTCCTCGAAAAGGTTCGAAGGAAGGGGTAAGGGAGGTTTTATGGGCGAGGGGCTTGGACTTCCAGCAGGCGTGCATGAGCATATTCGATAGGAGTGAATGGAGACGAATGGTATTTGGGACCTGACGATCTGTTGGAGTATGAGCAGGGTAATATTTAGTGAAGGGATTCAGGGAAACCGGTTATTTTTATATAGCCGGACTTGAGTCCTGGAAATAGGAAGTACAATGCCTGCACTCTAAAGGAGGGGTTTCGGGATATTGGCAGTTTGGAGGGATATGTTGTGTATCTTTATACGTATATGCTTCTAAACTGTTGTGTTCTGAGCACCTCTGCAAAAACAGTGATTATGTGTGAGTGAGGTGAAAGTGTTGAATGATGATGAAAGTATTTTCTTTTTGGGGATTTTCTTTCTTTTTTGGGTCACCCTGCCTCGGTGGGAGACGACCGACTTGTTGAAAAAAAAAAAAAGTATAGAACTCAAACTCGTGGCCTTGTGTATTTTATCATGGTACTGTATTTTTAAAAAACCTTAATACTGTATTATTGGGTATATTTTTTCAGGCATTTCTTCATACCTCCATTAGTTTATTTTTTTATTTACTTTTGGTTTTAAAGGTTCAAATGGGCTAATCTCTGTTTGTAAGGGAAGCTTTCTTAAAGGAGTTATATCTTTTGTGTAAATATAATTGTAAATACTTTATTAAGTGGTGAGTTGCATGTGTTGTAAATGCATTAGTATCTCAATTTTGAGTGATCTATTTGTAATTTTCATTCGTTGTACATATTTTGGTTTTCCTTCCAATTTAATTCCACATTACTATTTATGCAGAGGTGTGATTATTTATCCCTTTAACAATAAAAAAATAGAAAATTAACAGAAGCTTATATTTGGAATTTTTCCAAATCATTCAGATGATCTTGCTTTGTAGTGAAGACTGGTAACACACTTGTAGCTCCTACTACAAGGTTGCACTCAGCTTCTCTTCTATGCTTGCTAAACTATTGGTTTCATCCTAGCACCACTTGGTTCACTATACATAACATAAAAGATTTCACATTTTCACTAATTTTAAAGATTTTATTTTACTTCATTTTCTGTTTAATTTTATCTGCTTCCTTCTTGTGAAGTGTTCCTTTAATTTATCATATGTGCTTAAACTACTTATCATTCTTTCTTTGCATATTATTTCAGAATTAACAACTAGTAATGGCTTAATATTTTACCTTTACAACTTGAAGGGTAAGGTTTTCTTAGTCTAATTTTGAGGGATTTAGTAGTATGCGTAGACATGCTGCAGGCTTTGGTGGCTGTATATGTATAAAATGTAATTCATATACAGTATGGTTGCATGTTAACATAGGCAAAATCTTTACTAACATCTTCGCTGCTGTTGTCTAGGAATTAAATGTGTTGGACACTCAGCGTGCAGAGTTGATTACTGCTGGTACAGCAGAGGAGGACCTTCTCTTCTTGTGGCTGGTTGGAGTGATTATCTTCCTGACTCTTCTGCTCGTCCTCACAGTGGCTCTGTGCCTATCCCAGAGAGCACGATACTCAAGGCAGCTCAAAGCTGCCACTGCCACTGCATTTGGAGAATGTAAGTAAAAATAATTCACATACACATACAAACAGTTACTACAGTTTAACAAAATTATAACACAGTAAATGTAAAATGATAACAGTTATTACAGGTATGTAGCTACATTCTAATAGGAGACCCAGAGATAATGTGAAAAATCCATTAAGAGTATTTTTAATAGAGAGCTGAATTTGGTAGTTCTCAAATGTGTGGTTAGTATCTGTGCTGGCTGTCAATACCAGTTAACACTGTTGTGAATTTCTTGCATTATCAGGTGCTACAACCACTGAAAAAAAGAGACCATGAGTATAGATAGATCTGCCCATCTAGCCAGAGATCTGTATATAAAATATTGTATAGGTAACTACACACAAGAATCTGTAGTTATAAACTGAGAAAATGTGCAGAAAGGTGATAATAAAAGTTCCCAGAGATGTAGAAAAATATTATCAGATTAAGAGTATGTACAAGTGCTACAATCACTGGGAATTTTAAGTCTTCATGATTGATTTAGAGGGAACACCATGGGCACAGCTCTGCTCTTGAAGCTGCAAATTGATGATTACACACAGTTTTCAAGATACCATATTTAATTTATAGTTTAATATCTGAAGCTAATTTTGTATGTGAAAATTAATATGAAATATTTCTTATTCACAAGGGGCTAGTAACCCCTTCTCCTGTAAATATTACTAAATGTAAAAGGAGAAACTTTCATTTTTCTTTATGGGTCACCCTGCCTCAGTGGGGTACGGCTGGTGCTTTGAAAGAAAGATTTCTTATTCATTTTATAAACCTTTCAAGATATTTACTAATTTTTCTTTCCAACAAATTAGCCGTCTCCCACTGAGGCAGGGTGACTGAAACAAAAAGAAAATTCCCAAAAAGAAAATACTTTCATCATTCAACACTAACTTCACTCATACATAATCATTGTCTTTGCAGAGGCACTCAGATACAACAGTTCAGAAGTCCCTCCAAACTGTCAATATCCCAAACCCCTCCTTTAAAGTGCAGGCATTGTACCTCCCATTTCCAGGACTCAAGTGTGGCTAACCGGTTTTCCTAAATCCCTTCACTAAACATTACCGTGCTCACGCTCCAACAGCTCGTCAGGTCCCAAAACCCATTCGTCTCCTTTCACTCCTATCTAACATGCTCACACACGCTTGCTGGAAGTCCAAGCCCCTCACCCACAAAACCTTCTGTACCTCCTCCCTCCACTCTTTTCGAGGATGACCCCTACCCCTCCTTCCTTCCCCTACAGATTTATATGCTCTCAAAGTCATTCTACTTTGATCCATTCTCTCTAAATGACCAAATCACTTCAACAACCCCTCTTCAGCCCTCTGAAATAGGTTTTTATACTGTACGTGAGAATTAATGCAGCATTTATTTAATGCTTCATATACACTGGTGATTAACATGATTGAATCTAATGAATATATTTTTTTGTCATCAGGTTCACATGATACAGGCCTGAATAGATCATCAACTGTCCCAAACACAAATATTCACAGTGTTGAAGGAAGCAATCCAATATGGATGTCTGGATTTGATAATGACTGGTACAAAGATGAGGACTCAATTAGGTATCAACACTTTGTGTGAGTTTTGCACTGCTTTCTGTTTGTTACTGTATTGTGTTTTATGGTGTTGATAGGCTTTTTTGTTATGTTATTAGCTGCACCCTAGTTTAGTCTCATTTTATGTAATGCAGTTGATTTATGGCTATGGGTTTCCCTTAATCCTTTGTTTTATTTTATTTTATTTTTTTGTGAAGTATATTTAGTCAAGGCACTTTGATTCTTCCTTGCTATTGTGCAGTATTGCTTTTCGTTCTCAAAGTTTGCTTAACTTGCACAAAAGCTTATTTTTCATACATGTTTGCTTCCTAGCTTGTCAAACAGAATTTCAATGCATTTGAAAAATACACCTAATTGTATTACTTGTTCCTATGGTGGTTAGCTAATAATACCATTGCTATAGTGCAATTCCCATATTATAATAGTGATGTCATTCTGCTTGGTAATTAATTGCAAGTTGATATATTCTTGCTGTTCCAGGTTTTATTATTTAATTTATATAATTATGTATTTAAGCTCAACAATTTTAGTGTAAAAGGAAAGTTTTTAAGGTATAGAAATAATTTTACAATATAATTAGACAAATGGGAGATTAGGTGAATGACTGATGTGTTGGCATTAATAATTTATATATCCCATGGTATCACAATAGATGGACTATTTATGTTTTGAATGAAAGTTTTCATTTGTATATTGAAAATGAATAGGTTAAAGCTATCATTTTACATTACTGATATATTACAATAAGTGAGTGAGTGAGATTAACAAGTTAAGGAAGCCTAGAGAACAAATGGATTTGTCAGTTAAAAATAGGAGAGGAGAGTTATTAAATGGAGAGTTAGAGGTATTGGGAAGATGGAGGGAATATTTTGAGGAATTGTTAAATGTTGATGAAGATAGGGAAGCTGTGATTTCGTGTATAGGGCAAGGAGGAATAACATCTTGTAGGAGTGAGGAAGAGCCATTTGTGAGTGTGGGGGAAGTTCGTGAGGCAGTAGGTAAAACGAAAGGGGGTAAGGCAGCCGGGATTGATGGGATAAAGATAGAAATGTTAAAAAGCAGGTGGGGGATATAGTTTTGGAGTGGTTGGTGCAATTATTTAATAAATGTATGGAAGAGGGTAAGGTACCTAGGGATTGGCAGAGAGCATGCATAGTTCTTTTGTATAAAGGCAAAGGGGACAAAAGAGAGTGCAAAAATTATGGGGGGATAAGTCTGTTGAGTATACCTGGTAAAGTGTATGGTAGAGTTATTATTAAAAGAATTAAGAGTAAGACGGAGAATAGGATAGTAGATGAACAAGGAGGCTTTAGGAAAGGTAGGGGGTGTGTGGACCAGGTGTTTACAGTGAAACATATAAGTGAACAGTATTTAGGTAAGGCTAAAGAGGTCTTTGTGGCATTTATGGATTTGGAAAAGGCATATGACAGGGTGGATAGGGGGGCAATGTGGCAGGTGTATGGTGTAGGAGGTAGGTTACTGAAAGCAGTGAAGAGTTTTTATGAGGATAGTGAGGCTCAAGTTAGAGTATGTAGGAAAGAGGGAAATTATTTCCCAGTAAAAGTAGGCCTTAGACAAGGATGTGTGATGTCACCGTGGTTGTTTAATATATTTATAGATGGGGTTGTAAGAGAAGTAAATGCGAGGGTCTTGGCAAGAGGCGTAGAGTTAAAAGATAAAGAATCACACATAAAGTGGGAGTTGTCACAGTTGCTCTTTGCTGATGACACTGTGCTCTTGGGAGATTCTGAAGAGAAGTTGCAGAGATTGGTGGATGAATTTGGTAGGGTGTGCAAAAGAAGAAAATTAAAAGTGAATACAGGAAAGAGTAAGGTTATGAGGATAACAAAAAGATTAGGTGATGAAAGATTGGATATCAGATTGGAGGGAGAGAGTATGGAGGAGGTGAATGTATTCAGATATTTGGGAGTGGACGTGTCAGCGGATGGGTCTATGAAAGATGAGGTGAATCATAGAATTGATGAGGGGAAAAGGGTGAGTGGTGCACTTAGGAGTCTGTGGAGACAAAGAACTTTGTCCTTAGAGGCAAAGAGGGGAATGTATGAGAGTATAGTTTTACCAACGCTCTTATATGAGTGTGAAGCATGGGTGATGAATGTTGCAGCGAGGAGAAGGCTGGAGGCAGTGGAGATGTCATGTCTGAGAGCAATGTGTGGTGTGAATATAATGCAGAGAATTCGTAGTTTGGAAGTTAGGAGGAGGTGCGGGATTACCAAAACTGTTGCCCAGAGGGATGAGTCAGGGTTGTTGAGGTGGTTCGGACATGTAGAGAGAATGGAGCGAAACAGAGTGACTTCAAGAGTATATCAGTCTGTAGTGGAAGGAAGGCGGGGTAGGGGTCGGCCTAGGAAAGGTTGGAGGGAGGGGGTAAAGGAGGTTTTGTGTGTGAGGGGCTTGGACTTCCAGCGGGCATGTGTGAGCGTGTTTGATAGGAGTGAATGGAGACAAATGGTTTTTAATACTTGACGTGCTGTTGGAGTGTGAGCAAAGTAACATTTATGAAGGGGTTCAGGGAAACCGGCAGGCCGGACTTGAGTCCTGGAGATGGGAAGTACAGTGCCTGCACTCTGAAGGAGGGGTGTTAATGTTGCAGTTTAAAAACTGTAGTGTAAAGCACCCTTCTGGCAAGACAGTGATGGAGTGAATGATGGTGAAAGTTTTTCTTTTTCGGGCCACCCTGCCTTGGTGGGAATCGGCCAGTGTGATAATAAAAAAAAAAAAAAGTCTTCACTTAATGTTTCTATAGTTTCTTGGAAACTACAACTTTAAGCAAAACAGTATATAATGAAACCAATTTTACCATAGGCTAATTTAAAACTAGAAGATTTGTTTCTGTCATACTTTTTCTGTTTTTTGTGGCCACAGACATCAGGGGTGCACAATGCATCTTTAGCACTCATTGTTATAGGGTTAAATCAAGGATAAATGATTGTAAGGAGGACCTCCTACCACTACACAATTCAAAAACAAACAATAACAGATACGTCAGGCTCACTGAGCATTTTTGTACCGCATCATTAATTGTCATGCATTTGTAGGATTATTGTGCACTTTACAAATGTTTATTCATTCAATTTTTTTTCTCATTGACTTTATAATGAAATGATGTTATTCAAGGACCTGCTGTATACTGTAATATAAAAATATAATAATTAATTTAGAATGAACTGGAAACTTTTACAAAAGAAATCAGTAACAAACTATTTGGCTCTTAACTTTCCTTTTTTTTTTTTTTTTTTTTTCAACAAATCAGCTGCCTCCCACCTAGGCAGGGTGACCTAAAAAGAAAGAAAAACTCCCAAAAATGAAAATACTTTCATCGTTATTCAACACTTTCACCTCATACATAATTACTGTTTTTGCAGATCTGCCCTTATTACTATTATACTCAAACCTCTCATTTGCAAATTTCAGCAAAAAATTAGCTGGTCAATTGGAAGTATCAGATAAAATGAACGAAAGTTTGTAATTCCTGATTTTGTTGGTATCAATTGTGTCCAGGTGTCTTTGGAAGTACAGTGGACACCCGGATTACATAATTAATCCATTCCAGAGAGAGTGACTGACTTATTCCGAATTAATTTTCCCCATAAGAAATAATGGAAATCCAATTACTCCATTTCACACATTCAAAAGTATTAAAGAAAATGTTTTCTACATGAAATATACATTTACTTACACAGAAAACAATGATACACGAAGACTAAAACAATAATAACATCACACTTACCTTTATGGAAGACATGATGTATGGAAGATGGTAGGAGGGGAGAGGATGGAGGAGTTTACAATTGTTTGGAAGGGGAATCCCCTTCCAAAAAGACTTCAGGTACCAAGTCCTTATCCTGGGTTACTTCCCTTCTTTGTTTTTTAATGGCACTAGGACCACCTCGAGTCGCTGGACCCCTGTCGCTCAATAAAGTATTCCTGAGAGGTCTGTTTCTGGCATATGTTAGGAATTGTGTTGGGAGACAGGACAAGATAATCCTTCAATATGACACTAATATCAGCTGTACAGCTTATTTATCTAGCACAATTCATCTAATATGACATAATAAACAATATTAATAACATAGAAACATGATATGTACTCTAGAATGAATAAAATATGGCATTAAGAATCTCACAAGTGGTGGTGTGTTGTTGGGTGTATAGAGGCCACTGAAAGATAAGCCTTACGTAGTGGTGGTGAAGGCAGCAGTGTTAGTCAGTAGCCCTACATACTCCCAACAACAATGGAGGAGTCGGTTTCGTGCTGTTCTTTTTCTATCGATTAATCGCTTAACTTACTTGCTACACTGTTAATGCTACACTTTATTGCTGGCTGGTGCTATAGCCTTTATCGACTCCTGCTTCTTTAGTATCGTACATATTGCAGAATCACTGAAAAAGGCACATTCTTCTCTCTCTCTCAGCCCTTTACCAAAGGGCTCGCTGGCACTAGAAGCTTTATTTGAACCCATGGTGGCTTATTTAGCAGTTACAAGCACTAAAAAGAATGGAAATGTATCGTATGAACGAGTGGGATCGTCATCACTGGCTAGTAAACAATGGCACACTGGCTGTACTTGGAGTGTCGGCCGCGTGGACATGTTTCGGACAAGTGACTTATACCAAGTTCAGTGACGTTCACCAAGCCAATATTTTGACGAAAGAACGTTACTTATTCTGAACATTACTTATTCCGGTGACGACTTAATCTGGTGGTCCACTGTACAGTGGTACCTCAAGTTACGAACTTAATTGGCTCCAGAAGGCTGTTCGAGTGCAGTTACCAAAAGAATTTGTTCCCATAAGGAATACTGTGAATTAGATTAGTCTGTTTCAGACCCCCCAAAATACACTTACATAATTGTTCGAGTTGGGAGCTGTTCGAAACTCGAGGTACCACTGTATAAGACGAAGCCTGATAACTCTTGACATTTGTTCGATATGGGCCAGTGGCCACATCCAGGACATGTCAGTTTTTATTGTTCCTTGAGCCATAGGCCACCCACACTAGTTTATTACTTGTGCTCACTTACATGTATGCTCGTCATTCAGTCTAAGGCAAGTGGTGATGCTAAGAGGATGTGTGACTCTCAGGGTTAAGCAGAAACTTGAACTTATAAAGGTCGAGTCTGGCTTCTCAGTGGCACAGGTATGTGAGGAATATGATGCAAAGAAAGTGTATATCTGTAGAAGCAAGGAAAAGCTTACAAAGTTTAGTGTAGATGCTAGTGGAGTTTTACAGCTCCTCTGACTCGGAATAAAAATTATGGTGAGTCACCAGTATTATGGTTGTTTACACCTTATCTTCCCACCACAAAAAGGGAAGTAAAATTACTGTAAGTTACATATGTAGTACATGCTATAAAATTACTGCACAGTACTCTGCTGTAATATTGCAGTTATAATACCTGTATTCCTAATGTTCGATTGTTTTTTGCATTAGTGGACTAAGTTCACTAGTTCAGAAGACAACAGGATGATCATGAAGAATTAAATATATAATTTGGAAGTTTCAGACAATATTGTACATCCCCTTCCTAAAATCAGTCCATTAAGGAGAGGATTCACTGTACAGTGAAACCTCTCATTAATGAACTAATAGGGGTGAGGGAGTGTACAATAATGCCAATTGCCTGCAACTCCTGAATTATGAAATTAATATTTCATGATCATCTGGTTGTCTTCTGAAGTAGTTGACTTGGTCCACTGATGAAGAAGACAACTGAACACTAAAAATATGGGTATTATAACCTGTAGTACAGTACTATACTGTATAGTAATTTTATAGTACGTACTCTGCATAATTTGCAATAATTTTAATTGCCCTTTTGTGGTGGAGAGATGAGGTGTAAACTGCCGAGGTCGATAGTGGTGACTCAGAATAACTTATATTCCGAGTCATAAAAAAAAAAAAATTAAAATACACCCTATCTATTGCATTTAACGTTAAGAATGTTACTATGGAAAAAATATGGAAAATGCATCTATTATTATATTATGCTCTTGAGGGCTGTATAGTCCTTGTGGCTTAGCGCTTCTTTTTGATTATAATAATAATATGCTCTTGAGGAGGCACTTAGCCCATAAGGATCACAAAGCACCACTGAGATTGGAGAGGTTGATAATAGGGTATGATAGTATGAGGGCCTTATGAACCAGGTGCTGTGTAGTAGTAGTAGTTAGTTGTTGGGGTTGCATGGCCATGAAGCTGTTATATGACTCGATGAGTACCAAAACAAACACCAGATTACTTACATTTATTTCTTTTTATGACACAGGCATGACCATATGTCTAGTTACTGTATTTATAAGAATTTAACAGGCATGCTGCATGCAAAGCACCTGCAAGCATACAACCCTCCACATTGAAAACCTTCCATAACCTGGCACCATACTCTCCAGCATTACAATGTTCCACCATACACTATAACCCTCCACAATATTTAACCATACTCTACAATAATGACAGTGTGCTACTACACATAACCCTCCACAACACATCATTGCCTTCCATAACACACAACTACCCTTTGCACATGAGAGTGCAGTGCAGTAATGTAGAATGTTAACAGGTAGTAATACTGACAGATTCAATGTTTTAGCAATCACCACTTCCTGCACCATTAGCATCAGTCTACCAGCCTTACACAACTCACGTTTTACACACCTCCTTATGCTAGCTCCAAGTACATACTAGTCAGCTGATTACACCTGCTGCACAGTTTTTCAATCTTCATACTGACATAAGATAAATGCTTGAGAATATAATGTTTCAGCATGAATTAAATTTGCAAAATGGGCAGAGAAAGCAGAGATAACATACAGGAAATTTAAGTAGAGTAGTGCAAAGGAATGATCAGTCTTCAGTCAAAAAGTAGAAAAATACAATGCCATAGCAGAATATTAAAAGAAATGCTGGTTGATTATATGCTCTTGTTGAACAAATTGGTATACCAGGTTCTCTTTGCGAGATGTGCTACATGCAGCAACAGGATATAATAAAGTATATTCAGATTAACCCTTGTGGCTTAGCGCTTCTTTTTGATTATAATAATAATAATAATAATATTCAGATTAAGAGAATGCATGACTGAAAGTTTATTATTATTTCCTTAGGGAGGGTCCTTGATGATGAGCTCTTGCTCTAAATACATAATTGTATTTGTCCTACCCTTTCCCAGGTGCTTTTTGACTTGTATAGGTTTAGTGCTTCTCTATATATATAATATTTATTACTGTATTTATGGAAAAGCACTAAACCCATAGGGGGATCATACAACACCTGAGGAATGGGAGGTAGGTTTGATCCAAGGAAGGAGAGGTCGGGTCTAATTTCTAGGATCAAAAACCCCATGCCAGTATTGTTTTTCTCTAGTGTTTAATTTTTTGTTTTTACTTCATTTACAGTCACCAGAGTGAAGGAAATGACAGTTTAGATGACAATGCTGTGGACACATCTTTATCCCCAAGAGGGGACCGTGACATGCCCTATATTACTCAAACTAATGTTCCAAATCCATTATCAAGGTGAGTTCGTGAAATCATACGATTGCTTTATGAAACAAAATTGGATCAGTAGTGCTCTGCTATTCTACTCTCTGATAATTACATGGCAGTTCCTTTATATTCAGTTACACAAAATTATTTTCTTACATTAGGTAATGAAATCTGATAGCTGACCTAGAAGATCTATGAGAAATGTACAGTAAATATTTTAAATGCATCTGTAGTATTGCAATTGAAAATGTGCTTAGAAATACAGTATTCTTGAAGCCTTTTTTTTATTTCTGTCATTAGCATACATGGATTCAGAGTAAGTTAAAATTATGTAAGAATGAATAAAATGATTTTTAATAAAAAGTGCTAAAGATGGCTTCAACATGTTCTTTCTTTAATTACACTATATATGCATGTAGAGGTGTACTTTTTCTTCACTTATTTTATACATTTACAGGGAATCCAGTACAGTGGGTTCCAATACCCAGCTGATGAATCACGAACAGCAGAATATCAATGACACTTACCGAGCTAATCTGTACCAAACTTTCCACAAGATTGCCAACCCTCTCGTTGATAAAAAACTTGAAACTACAGAACTTTGACAGTTGGATGTAGGTGTAAAGAATGAGACTGACTGTTAATTTTGAACTTTTATAGTCAAGAGCCCCCAGATGATACTGCATTTCTAGCCAGTACACCGAAAGTTTTCTTTGAAGAAAATTTGTATGCATGCCTTAAAATGTCAGTGCAATATCTGAAATACCAAGTTCCTTATATCTTACTCGCAGTGAATTGTGGGTAGTAGATCAATTGTGATACTTGTCTGGTTTGCCTGTCAGCTAACTCAAGTTAAATAAAAAGCTTTCAAGAGAAAAATGTATGAACAAATGTGTGATCAATGTTAAATATTTGTTGCATTTTTAAGTACGTTCAAATAAATGTATTTTAGCTGATATACAAAAAAAAAAAAAAAGTATGTAGATCTTAAAATAGTTAAAACCAAAGGAATTTTCTTCATGTTCATATTATAGCTTATGGCAAAACATAAGTGAAACATACAATTCACTTCAATGCCTAGGAAAATGATCATGCAGAGAAGCTGAGCAGGTCTTTAACCACCACCATTTGAAAACCTAATATTCATTAATCCTTAAAGCATAACATTTCCACATATCACTCATTTTACATTCTGTATCCCATTCCATTTTTTCTAACTACAGTATCCATATGTCTGCTCTTCCATATTTATTTACATGTTAAACTGCTCAGTTCTTTTTGTATCCTCACTAATGTGGATTTCCTTTATCAAATGAAGTTTACAGTGTATAACTATTAATTGTACTACTGTTTGACATCATCCCATATCGTGCCTAAATATTCATGTAAATTTTTTTTTCCATTTTTGTATGAAATATACTATATTTCATAATTTTATCATACAACGACTTTCTGCATTTACTCAGCATTTTGAGTGAAGTGCTCCATATTGTAGATATATGTTTATACATTTATATTACATAAGTGATTTAATATCTGGATTACAATATTTGATACAACGAATTTTTTAATAGCACAGTGAAAAAATAAAATTGTACATTGTTTGTCATTAGTTTTTGTAGCCCCTATAAATCAAAATGTGGCAGAGTTGTGGTTTTTGCCTTGTTTTCAGTTTTTCGTAGTATGGTATCTTCAAATAAAAGTGTAAATGAAATCTCAGCCTGTTTCCTAAGGCAGAACAGAAAAAGTACTTCTTCATATGGTATTGTTTCCCATCTCGCCACTCTTTCCAGTTAAGTTTTTTTTTGTCTTGTATATGATAATTTGGAGACCAAATATGGATAGCATATTCAAAATACAGTATAATTAATAAAGTATCTGACTACTAGTCCTGCTGCAGGCAGGTAAGTTTTGTCAAGTGCTGTATATTACTTTAGGTCATTGCTTGTGACTCCATTGTTCTTTTCTTGTACACTCGTGCTCATGTCAACATTGAAATTCATCTTTTAAGTCTTTAACCACTTGACCAACCTATTTAGTCATCTAAATAATCCTCCTGCATTAAGTTAGTAAATTTTCAGAGAAATAGAAGACAGTCACAAATGATCTGCATGGCAATGATGATTCCTCAACATTATTACTCCCACTCCTATATCTGTGCTCCATGACACTTGGTGGTAATTTGCATATACAGACTGGGTACGTTATTCTGCACTACTTTATTTTTGAAAACATTCCCCCTACACCCACTAACATAGTCTCAATCAATTTACTGCATATTTTGGGGGCCATTTCCTTCAAGGAATCAGTTGTAAAAAAGGTGCATCTCTGTGGTCATTTCACTGTAATCACACTATTCCTCTAATTACACTGCAGATTGCTATACTGATTTCATGCAAGCAGTAACTGATTCACAAATGAATAACAGTACAATAAATTAGTGACCAGCAAAGCTAACAAGGGGTTTTACAATCACACATGTTAATGCTTAATCAGTTTTACCAAAACTGCTGGAAGTTAAAATTCTAACATCTATAACAAAGGCTGTCATAATTTCCATCAAAGAATCTTGGTTATAAGGCACTATAACTAGCCAAAATAAATTTGATAAACTTAAAAGAGAAGAAAAAAGGGTAACATACATAGACAAAGGGGAAGTATACGTACGTATGTATCTAGACTATGTACCTATTTAATGTTACGGGAAACAAGCAGCAGGTGCAAAAACTTAACCGTCTCTCTCCAAACCCGGGAGGTGAACGTAAGTTCTTTCCACTGAGTTGAACTTGACCACTGCATCACAGGACACAAAAGAATGATGGGTTTGTAAAAAATGGGTAAATTTTAAGACAATAAATAACTGTAAGCAACTAATAAATGAATGAATCCAGACAACAAGAATCTCAGCCACTACACTTTATGCAGATTAGCTTTATATGGAAGCACTATTACACTGTCCTATTTCTATCAGTAATTCATTATGCATGGTTCACAAAGCATATTGAAGATTCTTAATATGTGGAATCGTTTGTGGCCTGACTGAACTTTGTAACGCTGCCTTGGGCCTAAAATGCATTTACAGCATAAAATGAGACACCTGCAGTAATGTGAAAAAATCTCAAATCACGAGTAATTACTATAGGACTAACTTTCCATTTTATTATACTGCACTTGAAAAACTATTAAAAGTTCACAGGAATGCACAGAACAATTAATATGACAAATGAAGAACTACAGTAAAGAAATATATGAATGGTCTGTGCAGTGATAAAAATTTAAAAAGGTAAACAGCCTAAAAAAACAAACTATTTCCCTACCATTCTTGAAAATGCACCAATAAAAGCACATTATGACAGAAGACAATTGAACCTTGGATGAGACTTGATCGAAAAGAGACCAACTACTGTGAAAGGTTAGAATAAATAGGCAGGATAAATAAAGCATTACTTAATGAATCTCACAGGATAAGAAATAAAGTACTGTTCAGAAGTGTAAAATGGGCGACTCTCATGTCTAGATAATATTTGTATGACCCATATGGGTTTGGTGCCAGTTTTTGATAATAATAATAATCAAAGAAAAGTTGCATTCAAATTATAGCTGATTTTACAGGCAGTACTATAATTTTTTACAGTACTTTATTTGCATTAAATAAAGTTGTCACTGGTGATAAATTATGAAGATTTACTCTTTGATAACACACAGTCAGTATGGTAATTATCCATTTGTAGTAACAGGAGCACATCAATGCTCATGGTGTTCCATCTTTGATAAACTGTTCATCACCTAGTTTTTTTTTAAATTCCAAGTGGTTATAACATACACTATTTCATTTGTAATTCATTCCATTTGTCTGCTACTCTGTTAATAAAAATTTTCTAGTATATCTTCACCTCTTATTTTTCCTCAATTTACAACTATGGCCTCTTGTAATACCTATTGCAGGAAGCACTCAGAAATCTTTACATACTTTTTCAGGTTCTTTATATTACCTTATATGTGGCTATTGTATCTTTTCTTTTCCTCTTGACAGTGTTTCAGCCTTTTATCATACTCATAGATTTTTAACAATGGTAACCATTTTGAAACTCTTCTCTGGACGTTTTCTAATTCATCCACATGTTTTTTTAACCCTTTCAAGGTTTCGGCCGTACTAGTACGGCTAACGCCCCAGGGTTTTTGACGTACTAGTACGCCTAAATTCTAGCGCCCTCAAATCTAGTGAGAGAAAACTGGTAGGTTTACATATGAAAGAATGGGTCTATGTGGTCAGTGTGCGCAGTATAAAAAAAATCCTGCAGCACACAGTGCGTAATGAGAAAAAAAACTGATGGTGTTTTTGGATTAAAACAGCGACTTTGCACTGTATTTTCGTATGGTATTTATTGTTGTAATCTAGTTTTCCTGGTCTCATTTTATAGAATGGAAGACATATTACAGAAATTGAGATGATTTTGACGTTTTACAATTAAAACTACTTTGAAATTGAGCTCAAAGCAGCAGAAATGTTCAATTTTTACCAAAGTTCAAAAGTAAACAAATCATGCCAAGCGTCCAATACACGTCAACTGGCGAGTCTAATATTCTTTCACAAGTGCGCTGATATTATTTATACCATTTCTACACTAATGCAGTAGTCTGCATAACAGTAAATCTTCTATTTTTTGTAAGAATAAAAATTCAAAGTGGAAAGCCAAAGAAATATAAGAGGGGCCTGGGGATGTGACTAACGAACAGAGAACTTGTTATTTTAGTGCCAGGAATGTCTTTCTTGTTTATTCTAGACCCTATTCGGAAATTGGCATCTTTTGAAATTTGTGTGAAATTGGCAAAACTGCTAAATTCTGACCACTTATTGGATAGTTGAAATCGGTGGTTTCTTGTACTCATTCGATAGAAAAATGGAGTTCTAGCGAAATAGCTATGATTTTTGTCGACTAGTACATTGGAATTGGCCGAAAATAGGGCTCAAATTGGGGAAAATCGCCGATGCGTAAACATCATCGAGACTGCTAACTTCGCGAGAGCATAATTCCGTAAGTTTTCCATCAAATTTCATACTTTTGGTGTCACTATGATCGGGAAAAGATTCTCTATCTTTTCATAAGAAAAACAATTTTTTTTTTTTTTTAAATTTGGGGACCCTAAGAACAAGTCTCGGAGAGGGCCTGGGGACCCTGAAAGGGTTAAAGTGCAGGCACACTGCCACCACCATTGCATATTCCAGCTTTTTAGCATTTCACCAACCGTATAGTATTTGAAATCTGTTTTATAATTTGCAGTGTAGCACACTAGTTATAATTTTGCTCATAATCTTTCAGTGACAAAATTTTTGTTAATAATAACTCCTAGGTCTCTTTGTCTGATTTTTTTTTTTTTTTTTTCAACAAGTCGGCCGTCTCCCACCGAGGCAGGGTGACCCAAAAAAGAAAGAAAATCCCCAAAAAGAAAATACTTTCATCATCATTCAACACTCACCACACTCACACATTATCACTGCTTTTGCAGAGGTGCTCAGAATACAACAGTTCAGAAGCATATACGTATAAAGATACACAACATATCCCTCCAAACTGCCAATATCCCAAACCCCTCCTTTAAAGTGCAGGCATTGTACTTCCCATTTCCAGGACTCAAGTCCGACTATATGAAAATGAATGAAAGTGAATGGAGGCGAATGATACTTGGGACCTGACGATCTGTTGGAGTGTGAGCAGGGTAATATTTAGTGAAGGGATTCTTTGTCTGATACTATCAATAATTTGTCACACAGTCAAAAGTTTCTATGCGGCCTGATTCCACTGTATACCATTTTCACTATACAGCATTTATCCAACTCAATGTGCAAAGATTTAGAGTAAGTTTTATTTATTTTATATTTTATTTATTTACTTCCTCTTTCTCTTCAGTAATTTTATCCTTAATTGGTTATATTCTACCTCGAAGATTTAGTGTACTTTTTAAAGCAAACTTGAATAAAAGATCTGGTTCCATTGTGCTCTTGTCTACTCTTTCTTTTTCAAAGTTCTTTTTTTCCAGCCATTTTACTTTTGCTTAGGTAATAGGTTGGTTGACAGCAACCATCAAGGGAGGCACTGTATGCCCATCATGTTACATGAGTATGAAATGGAAACATGTTATTTTTTCATTGGCAGGATTGCTGATTTTTTCTCTCATAAACACTTTGAAAGGTAAATATTGCAAAGTTCCACACCTGCATTCAGTATATAAGAGGACCCTGCTTTTACAGCAGGTTAAGTTCCGTGCTTCTGCTGTAAAGCAAAAATCGCTGTAAAGTGAATCATAGCCTTTTTTCACTTTCAAATGCATATAAAAGCCAGACAATATGTTTACACTATCATAAATTAAGTGAGCAATAGAGCTAGGCCTAAAAAAAGCATATACTTCAGTACACACATTACTTACCTTAAAATATTTTTGTCCTTAGCATTTAGTGAGTGGTGAATATATTTACTGTAGGAAGTCTGAATAAATGAAGAATGGGTATAATTGAAAACTAATGCATTAGCAAAATGCCATAACATAAGGCCCTCCTGTACATACTTTTATTTTCCTATGAGCCTCTTAATAGTTCTGAATCCTG